TTTCTTTCTTTCTTTCTTTCTTTTTCTTTCTTTCTTTCTTTCTTTCTTTCTTTCTTTCTTTCTTTCTTTCTTTCTTTCTTTCTTTCTTTCTTTCTTCTTTCCTTCCTTCCTTCCTTCCTTCCTTCCTTCCTTCCTTCCTTCCTTCCTTCCTTCCTTCCTTCCTTCCTTCCTTCCTTCCTTCCTTCCTTCCTCCCTCCCTCCCTTCCTTCCTTTCCTTCCTCTCAATCTCTCTCTTTCCCTCCCTCCCTCCCACCCTCCTTTCCTCTTTTTTTTTTTGACAGTACCAGGGTTTGAGTTCAGGGCCTCACACTTGCAAGGCAAGCACTTTACCACTTTAGTCATGCTGCCAGCCCTTTTTACTTTATTTATTTATTTTTGGCAACTCTAGGGTTTAAACTCAGGGCCACGTGTTTGCTAGGCAGGTGCTCTACCATTTGAGCCACTCAGCGAGCCCTTTTTTTTTGTGATGAGTTTTTTTGAGTTAGGGTCTCTAAAACTATTTGCATGGGGCTGGCTTCGAACCATGATCCTCCTGATCTCTCCCTCCTGGGTAGCTATGATTACAGACGTGAGCCACAGGTACCTGGCTGCTTTGGTTATTTTTAAGATAGGGTCTTGATATATGCTCTTGGCCTGTACTGTGATCCTCCTATTTATGCTTCCCAGCAGAGATGGGATGACAGTTGTTTGCCACCATGCCCAGCTGTTATTGGTTGAGATAAAATCTCCCTGACTTCTTGCCCTGGCTGGACTTGAACTGTGATCCTTTTGATCTCTTCCTCCAGAGTAGATAGGATTCCAGGCTTGAGCCATTGCACCGGGCCAGATTGAATTTTTTTTTCTTTTTTGGCAGTACTGGAGTTTGAACTCAGGGCCTCACACTTGCTAGGCAGGTGCTCTACTGCTTGATTCTCTCTCTGCCAGCAGATTGAATTCTTTTTAGCTGACCCCCATACCCTTTGCATGATGCCTGATGAGTCTGTACCCTTTAGTCCTGTGCCCAGCATTTCTCTGCCCTATGGGGTCTTGTCTGTTCTTGATTTGGCTCTGGGTTTCTGCTTCCTGGTACATTCTTGTAGCCTCTCTGTACAACCATCACAACAACCCTTTGCAGATGGAGTTGGTGACCAATTACAATCTCAGAGAGCTGTCCTCTCCAGGCCCTTACACACCCCCAGGGAGGATAGCTTCAGGCACTTTAGTTGGGACACCCCTGAGCACCCTCATAAGACACCCCGAAGTGTGGGAAAGGAGTAGGACTATTGAAAAGGCCAGAGATACAGGTGTTACATCTTGCTGTGGTTTTGCTCAGACCAGCTGAAGACTCCAGGGATTTAACCTGACTTCTCAATGGTTCATTTCTTTAGACTTGCAGATGTTTCTTGAAGCCTGCCATCTCTGGCTGCCTCTTGGCTTCTTGTGAAAAGCTATGGCACCTTGTCCTGTGCCTGATTGCTCTCTCTTCTCCAGAACCTAAGCGTTATATTGGCAATGAGGAAGGACCCATTAGAGGGCTGTGGTTCTAGAAAACTGGTATCCAGGAAAGAGGGTTTGAGTCTGGCAGAATTCTGGCCTCTGGGCCTAGCTGTGGGACTACTATGGACATTGTGGGCCCAGAGTGAGTCATCTTGCATCTCAGGAATGACTGTTCTGCCTACCAATGAAGAGCATGGGTAAGATGCCTTAAGGAGCCTTTAGTATAAGACATTTGATGGAGGGGACTGATCGGGAAGATGGGACAGGCGTGGTCCTGGGAGATCTCATTCTTCATCTTGCCCTCATCTGTTGGCCTAGGGCAGCTGACCAGAGAGCCTGAAACTTGGTCTGCTGTATTTGGTCTTTACTATAATGGGGTTCCCAGGCTCTTCCTGAGGTGACTCTACTTGGTAGGGCCTGCAAGGGGAACTGAGGGGAGCTTGCAGACTTATATGAACTCCAAGTCTGTCTTCGCCCTAGTCTGTCCTCCACTCTCCCTTCAGCCTTGGACTTGCCCACCTCTCTGTCCGAGCTACTGGGCTGGGAGCCCCCTGAGGGCAGGCCCCTGAGTGTTCAGATCTGCCCTCCCTCACTCAGGACCACCTACAGGTACCCTGGAAATGTTTCCCAAATGGGATTAGTGACCATTTGTGTTGGGAGACTTCTGGGGAAGGCCATTATTAGGTCATAGGTGTTGTACAGTGCATTGTTCCCAGGGGTTTGGAAATCCAGACACATTTGGGCTTTGTACTGGTAGTAGTTTCAGAAAAAATGTTTTGTGTTAAACATAGATGCTGTTGGGTTGATGAGATCCTTTCTGTGACTGCTGGCCTTGTCTGTTTCCAAACCTCCCTCTCCCACCCCACCCCGGAGCACACACAATTTCCGTAGGAGGTTTCTCAGCTCTAGGGAGCCCTAAAATGACAAGTGCTCAGACGGTGAGATAATAATACTGTGGATTCTCACGGAGCCTTTCATCCAAGGACAGCCTCACCCTCCAGCGTTATCTGATCATAGCATGGGGACTATTGTCACCCCTATCATTAGCTCCACCCCCCCCAGCCATGGACATTGGGCTTCTAAGAGGGAGGGGGGCAGTCAGGGCTGGAACTGGAATGGGCCTCCTGGCTTCTGAGCCTTGCATCTTGGGCAGGAGAGCAGCAGACTCTGATGGGCAGGGTCTGAATTGCTTCTGAGTGTAGCTTACTCCCATAGGGTGAGGATCGAGGCATTGCCAGATCACCACTGTTGGATCATGCAGAATTACGAGACATGGAATTTGGAATTCTTTTTATTCTCCAAACCTTGCCTGCCCTCCCTTCAGCCAGCCTGGTTTCAAGCAACGTGTCCAGAGAAGAACGGTTGGCTTGATGAGGGGATGTCCCACTGTGATGCCATGAGGAATGGCACAAGGACTTTGGGCTTCAGGTCTCGAGAACAGAATCCATGGCTAGCGAACCAGATTCAGTCAATGAATCTCACCAAGAGGCCACTTTTGACTCCGTAGAGGATGGAGCATTGAGCAGTTAGCTATTTCAAAAGACAAAGGACTTTGATCGCAGGAAGTGAGCTGCCCTCACCAGAGGTGCCAGAGCAAGGGAGGTGACTGCTAAGCAGTCCCTAGAGGGAGCAGGTACATGTGCCTGCTTAGGCCCCATCCAGCATGTGTCCCCTGGGTGAATGGAGTTCTTTGACTTCCTGAGGTTCTAGAGAGAGCCTGCTGGACTGAGAGGGAATTTTCTTTTCTATCTTCTCTCTTCTCCTCTCTTCCTTCCCCTTCCTTCCTTCTTTCTTTCGACAGTGTCTTGCCCTGTAGCCCAGGCTTGCCTCAGAATCTAGCTCCTCCCATATTGGCCTCTGGAGTGGCTGGGATTCCAGGCATGTGCTGGAACAGTTTGAGAGAGAATTTTCTATATGTCAGACTGGAAAAGGGGTACGGTCTTCAGTTCTGGAGGAGGCGTTGGGTGTCTACGAAGATGACCTGAAGTATTGTTTTGTTTTTGTCTTATTCAAATAAAACAGGAGGAAAAAACCTCATCTATCCCCTCACTCTTCACCTTTATCTACCCCTGGTCTATTGGCTTCACATTTTTCCCTTCCCTCTTCCTTTTCTCTTTTTCCCCCTCTCCTTTCCTCTCTTTTTCTCTTTCTTTGTCTCCACTTTCCTTTATTTTTTATTACTTTATTTTCTTTTCTTTGTGATACTAGAGATTGAACCCAGGGTCTTTCAAGTGCTAGGCAAGTGCTTTACCACTGGGCTACACTCCCAGCCCTTGGGTTTTTGAGATAGGGTCTCGCTATGTAGACCTGATTGACCTCAAACTTGTGATTCTTCTGCCTCAGCCTCGTGAGTGTTTAATTATAGAAGTGCTGTCACTCATAGATACATTTATATTGTTCAAATGACAAGAATAGCAATAAATTGAAATTCCTTCCTCTGGTTCCCTGGAGGTGATGACTATTCTTAATCTGGTGTTCTTTGAGAGCACACACACACAGAAACACATACACAGACGCGCACACACACAGACACACACACACACATATACACAGAAACACAGACACAGACGCATACATACAGACACACACACAGACACAGGCACACACACGCTATGTTTTGTTCTGTAATTTGTTCCTTCATAAAACTTCTCAAAAAAGGGCTGGAGGTGTGGCTTAAGTGGTAGAACGCCTGCTTCACAAGCTCAAAGCTGTGAGTTTAAACTCCAGTACCTCAAAAACTAAAACAATCCCCCCCGCAAAAAACTCCAAAGCTTCTCAGCAATATTTCCATGCCAGGCCACATAGAGCCAGCCATACTATTCCTCAACACAGCTATAGATGGTTTATGTTCACTGCTTTTTTTTTTTTTTGAGACAGAGTCTGGTTTTGTAGCTCAGGTTGGCCTTGAACTCACAACCTGCTTTCCACCACTTCCCAGGTGCTGTGATTAGAGGTATGCACTGCCATACCTGACACCACTTTTACACCAATGTATAGACATCTCAGGTGTTTCCATGTTTCCTGATTTTCAGCAGTGGTGTGGTAGTGGCCTTTGTGCACATGTGTGCAATTTGTCTCTGATCGGAACCTTGAATGAAGATTGCTAAGTTAGGTTGGAGGATGTGCACATTTACATTCCAGTAGGTATTGCAGAAGTGCCCCTCCATCGGCCCTCCCCCAGTAGGGTGTGAGAGTGCCTGCATCCCATGCCCTTGCTAATACGCCACCCGTCAGCAGGAGCTCTCTGCATCCAGCCTCCTGGTTGCCTTGTGCAGGAGTGAGCTCCCCGTCAACAGAGCAGTGTAAGCTCAGCTGGAGAACCAAGGCTGGTGGCCCTGCAGAAAGGACTTCTTCTTATATGGAGAAGTGGAACAGGGTGGCTTTTGAGCTCCCTTCCCATCAGAGACCATGGCCATCTTTGAATGGCCTTGCATGAACAAAAAGAGTACGCTTGCCAAACTTGCTTGGTCCCCTCCCCCACCACAGGTGCTAAAGCGAGGTTGTTTCTATCATTTCTATCTTAGGTCAGCTGAAGCTGTCTATTGATGCCCAGGACCGGGTCCTGCTGCTCCACAGTGAGTACGGCTGTGTGCAGGCTCATGGAGGAAGGGGCAGCTGCTCCCTCCTGCCTAGAGCTGGGGCTGGGGACGGTGCTATCACAGCTGTTCTCATACAGCGTCTACCTGCTGTAGACAAAAGCAGGCAATCACTTGGAGCTTTCTCCATAGACCCAGCCCTGATGCTCCTGGAGTCCACACTGTGAGCCTTTGTCCTCTGCAGGCTGGAGCTGTCCCTGGATACCTTGACATTGCCCTTGGGCCTAGTGGAGCATGGCCACAGAAGAACCTCCCTCTCCTTTTTATCCTTCCTTTTCTCAGTTCTTCATCTCTTCGCTCATTGACAGGCAGCACAGTGTCATGGTTCAGATCACTGGCTTTGGAGCCAGATGGCTAGAATCTGAATCCTGGCTCTTACTTGCTTGGTGGCCTTGAGCAAAGCCAGTTTGCTCCCTTTTCAAATGCTGGTGTCAACAGTATCCATCTTGTGGGTTGTTACAAGGGTCAAATGAGTTAATATTGGTGAAGTGCTCAGCATGTATGGTAAATAAAATAGAAAAGCATAAATTCCAAAACTGGTGGTTTGTGTTGGCTGTGTGCTCTGGCTGGGGACACCAAGGAGAAGCACTTAACCTGGCTCTCGAGGTGCTGATGGGATGCCAGCGAGGACTCAGCAGAGGTGGCAATGTCCACATTCCATCCTTAAGGCAGGACAAAGTGGAGCCAGGGTGAAGCGGGGGTGGGGAGGATGGGGGGTGCATTTTATGTAGAGGAAACAGCAAGTGCAAAGTCTCTGGGGCCTGGAAGGGGACAATGCATTTAAAGTGCTGTCTAGCATGACTGGGGCATAATAACATAGGAGGATTTCATACTGTTTTTTTTTAAATAGCAAATTAATCCATTTGTTCTTCCTCCCATCTAGCACATTAATAGCTACTAAGCTGTCATGATCCCACTGTCTGGATCCTTCAGATTAACCAAGAAGGCCCTGCCTGTCTCTCCAGCCTCCTTGGCTCTTGCTGCTCAATGCACTCTGCACCCCTTGTTCTATCCAGTGACTTGCACCCCCACGAATGCACCCTGCTTGTCCCTGCTTCTGTGCCTTTGCATAAGGAACCTACTGTTCCCAGTGACTAGAATAACCTTCCTGCTTTGTTGGATTCCTTTTTAAAAAGAACTAACTGCCTTTACCTCTGCTTTGCAAGAAACATGGCTGCCTCAGATATCATTAAGCCTCAGGAAGGAAGGCTCATTATGCTTATTTTTTCCTTCAAGGAGACATGTCCATCCTCCTCCCTACCCCCCAACACCTGCCTGGGCTATTTGTTGCTTCCTGCATATGAGAACATAAGTCCTCATCACAGCCTGACTGCACGGTGCCACCCTGGGGCTGGTTTCTCCACCAGGATGGGAGTGCAGTGAGGGTGGGGCCAGATCAGCCTCACTGCTAATGGTGGCAGGGGGAGACCCAGGAGGTCACCAGGCCTGGATCCTGTCCTGGAGAACCATGCCTTTGAGGGGCAGGACACAGGCAGGAACAGTAACTAGGATACAGGACAGGGTAGACCAGCAGGCGCCTGGGGTCCTCCGCTCCTGGCCTTAAGGGGCCCAAGGTGAAGTTCCCAAGGACCAGAAGAGGGGTGTTCTTTGCTTGCCAGGTCTGACTCCAGCTGTGCAAACAGTTTTTACAAAGTGCATCTTGGCCTCCACCATTCCATTTGTCCTGCACAGTTTGCTTTGGCTTCTCCCCAGTCTCAGGCCCTTCACTCCTTCCAGCTTGTGACCACTCCTGCCTTTGGCTTTCCAAACTACCAGGGACTCTATGCTAGCCAAAGCCCAGGGCTCCATCAAAACCAAACAGAAAAGAAAACAGATAGAGGCTCAGGTTCTACCAGACCTGTTTGATTTCTGTGGACCTCATGCAAACAGACCATTCTTGCCTCATGACCAGTCCTGCACCTACCCCACTCTGATCCCTTACTTTCATTTCTTCTTTATTTTTTTATTTAGCAAAGGTTTGTGGAGCAGTTACTTATTTGTCGGGTACTCTACTAAACACTTTAGATGCATGATCTCATTTAGTGGGTATGACGATCATGTGACATGCATGATCCAGCTTCAGAGAGGAAGGCAACTCACTCTAGCAAGCGTGCTTAGTAAGTGGTGCCATTTGTGCTTGGTCTGTCTGCTTCTGGAACCTGAGCTTGTGATTGTGGTGTCATACTCCCCATTGCACAGTGCAGCTCATGGTACAGGGGAGTTTTCTAGTTCAGTTCACCAGTCCTGGAAGGCAGTCTTGGATGGTACTGAAAACACTGGCCTGGGAGTCAGGAGATATTGGTTCTAAATCCAACTGTCATTCCCAGTGGTCTGAGTTTGGGGCAAGTTTCTTCTTTGCATCCCTTGTAGCTGCATTTCCCCATTTCAGTGATGGGTTGGACTCAATCATTTTACATTCCCTTCCAGCTGTAGGATTCAGGGAATGGAATGCACTCCATAAGGCTGTGGGGAGGGTGCTGCCAGGGAGTAGGGATGGGGGCAATGAACTAGATGAGAGAGGGCTTTTGATCCAGTGGTTGTCACTGGATATTAAGGACCTGGGGTAAGTGCCATAGCCCTGTTACTTTCAGATCTTTGGCTTACTGTGAGTGTGTATGTCTGTATATTGAATGTGTAGTTTCCCATTCACCCACTCCTACTCTACTCTTAATTCTCTTTTAGTTATAGAAGGCAAAGGCCTGATGAGCAAAGAGCCTGGCGTCTGCGATCCCTATGTGAAGGTATTCCACAGGGCTAGAGGTGGGAAGTGGGCATTGAGGGGCCATGTCACTTGGGTGGAGCCCACTGGTCCCAGCACACCTGTGGGTTTGGCGTCATTTGAGGTTATGGCCACCACCTCAATCATTGGGTCAGTGGGAATTTATTAGGCCTTATGCTAGGATAGGCTCTTTTCTTTTGCCTACCTTTGTCCCTAATGCTTCATCCAGAGCTAGAATTTTAAGGGTGATCTTGGTCACTCACACAGGTGAGCCGTGTGAGCATGTGGCTGACTGAAATAGAAGCCCTTTTGCGAAAAGCAATCTCTTTACTTCCCTCTCCACAAACTAGAGGCAGGATGACCAGGTTTGGGCAGAAGAGTGGAGGAAGTGTCTTGAGGGCTAAAGATCCTTCTGAGCTGGGCCCTTTGTGATGAAGCCAGAGACCCTGCAGGGGTGAGGCTCTGCTTCCACGGGGAGCCAAAGGCCAGGAACCTCCCCAAGTGTGGCTGCTAGTGTACCAGGCACAGGCCTTGGTTGCCCTCTCTGTGTTGTTTCTGAAGCCCTCCCCTACCAAGGGCCTGGAGAAGGGCTTGGGCCAGGAGCAGGGCTGGGCGCCCAAGGCAGGGGATACAGTACCAGGACTAGAACAGGGACTGGGCTTCACAGGAGGGTGGCTTGAGCCTCTTGGGAAGGGAGGGCCAGGGGGCTGTTAGGACTTAGAAGAGAGGAGGCCTAGAGGAAGAGTGGAGATGATACAATTGTATGCCACCTCTGGCTGGGCCTGTGTCTGCATCTCGGTACTGCCCATGTACTGTCCTGGCATCTGGCCCTGGGCTCTTTATTCTTTTACAGCATCACTGGGACTCCACTCTGTCCTCTGCAGAGGCTGGTTTGGAGGACACTGGGGGAGCTTTCAACTTGGAGATGTGCAGAGTTGGCTGCTGTGCATAGGCCATTATGTGTCTATGAGATCAGCTAACGCTTAACTTTTCTCTAATTCAAGATTTCTTTGATTCCTGATGACAATCGAACCCGCTGTCAGAAGACGCAGACCATTTCAGACTGCAGAGACCCCTCTTTCCACGAGCACTTCTTCTTGTAAGAGTCTGGAGCAGCCGGGCCAGCCCTCGAGAAGAGAGGGAGGGAGTGTTTCTCCGGAAACAGCTCTGTTTGCCAAATCTAGAACTAGATCTAAGCAGAAAAACAGTGACTTCTAAAGGATGTCTTTGTTTTCTCACTCCCTGTGTCCTTGCATCCCTGGCCCCAGGCCCAGCAGTGAGGTCCACAGTGATAAGGTATATCACTTGGCTGATATACTTTGTAATTACAGTGCCCAGCTTGGGGCTGGCAACCCCTGAAAAGAGGTGGCAATTTCCCACTGTTCTTCTGACTAAGCTCTTGCGTTCAGCAGAAGGAATTTTCCAAGCTGAAGGGCAGTTTTGCCTTCCTATCCTCCTTTCTATTTGAACTTGTAAACTCCCTGAGCCTCAGCTTCCTCATTTGTAAAATGGATCTGGGGAGCTGGGAGCTGTAAATGCAACAGTATGACAGAATGGGAGCGGTTGTTATTATTATTATTATTACCTATTTCTCCCATCTCTAGACTCCGGGGCCAATGGGAAGGTCATGGACATTTGGCCTTTTCCCATCAGTAAAAATTAGTAATAATACTAACTTTGTTTTTTCCCTCACTTTACAAGGTAATTTTGCATATTATACAAAATTAGAAAATACAGATGAGCAAACAGAAGGAAATAGAAAATAATTGTAGTTCTACTACTCAGACAGCTATGACTTGTGCAATTCTTGTCTGATCCTTTTGTTTCTGGGTGTGTATGCCCATGTGTGTTCACAAGATTGTTTTATGATGGTGTGTTGTAACCTCCTTTTTACCCTTGGCAATATATATAAACTGTTCTGCACGTAAATACTCATCTCCCATACCATTTGTGTTATAGTTTATTTAACCAGCTGTTTAGGTCAGGCCTGGGGCTCGGCCCTCCTAACTCTGAATGTCTGCTTTGCTTTCCAGCCCTGTCTCAGAGGAGGATGATCAGAAGCGTCTTCTGGTTTGTGTGTGGAACAGAGCCAGTTCAACCAGGTGAGAAGAACTGCTGAGCTGGACTGAGACCCTTCTCTGGGCTGGGGTGGTAGCCAGGCAGCTAGCATTGCAGTAGGGGCTCAATTAATGCCTTTGGGTACATGAGTGGTAGTGACTACACTACATGGCAGAGACTGCATCCCCTGTGTTCATGTCACTCTAGGCGAGGCCAAGGGTCCTGTTATGAATGAGCCTTTGCTGAGCACTTGATCAACAGGGCACTGTGTTGGCCACCAGGAGTGCCAACCAGCCTACACCTGGGCTCTGCTCTCAAGGCTCCCACTGTTCAGGTAGAGACACCAGGTGCTGTGTGGAGATAAATGACAGAAGCAACATGCATACCCAGCTCCATAGGACTCCAGGCATCATGAAAACTAGGCCTGTTTCACTTTTAGTCTTCACTGTTCCTAGTGTCTAGCACATAGATGTCTTACAGATATTGACCTCATGAATAAAAGAATGAAATTAGTAACAAGGCCAGGGAAAAGAGGGAAGAGGAAAAGCTCACTGTTGGTTGACCAAGCAGGCTTCATAGGAAAGAGTGGACTTTGAACCTAGGCAGAGATTAAGAGGAAGATAAGGAGAGAAGGGTGAGAGGGTATTCCAGGTAGGGTATCGCATGAGCAAATATGCAGACAGGAATATTCATGGTGGAAAAGGCTGCCACAAGGAGGCCCTTTTAGGGGGCCCAGAAGTTTTGGGTGGGAGAATCCAAGCAGGCTGATCTCATGAGCAGTGCAGGGCACAGGAGGGCAGATGGTGTCCTTAGTAATGGTAGTAGTACAGAACAGGGGAGCATGAGGATTGGCTGCTAAGGAAAGGGAGTGGGAACACTTGACCTTGAATCAGGGTTAATAGTGCATTAGCTCATTTTAGTAGGTGTTTTTTCTTTGATTGTTGTTGTTTTTGAGACACAGTCTCTCTTTATAGACCAGGCTGTCTCAAGCTCTCCATCTCCTGCCTCAGCCTCCTGAATGCTGGGATTACAGGTGCGCTTCACCATGCCCAGCTCATTTATGTAGTTTTGTCCTAAATTTTCAGAAGAAGAAACTTAAGTTAAGAAAGGTTAGTACCTTACTCAAGGTCACAAAAGCGATGAGCAGTAGATTCAGGCTGAGAACCCAGGCAATTGGACTCAGGTCCTTTTTCTTAACACTGTATTGTCTCTTGATGCACAAGCAAAAGGACAGAGAGAACCAGTTAGATAGAGCCAAGGAGGTGGGGGGAGGGAAGAGAAAGGAGGTTATCTACAGACTCATTGGTGCTGTTGGAGGTCAAGTACAAAGAAGCCTCTGGCTAGAGGTAAGGTGAAGAGTGAAGAATTGGCATAGACCAAATCAGGTAGTTCTGTAGGTTCTCTTTGGAGATGGGGTTACTTTTAAGGGCCAGTGGTTCTCAGTCCTGGCTATGCATGGGATGCTTGTGAGGAACACAGGCCCCAAGGTGCCACATCGGGTTGACTGAATCTGAGTCTTTATGGGCAGGACCTAGGAATCTGCATTTAAACTAGCTTGCAGGGTGAGCTGTGCACAGCCGTCTGGTGTTTGGGAAGACGTTTGGCCATTGGGAGACACTGAGTGGAGTCTTGCAAGGGAATGATGGATGCACAACCTGGATCTATGATTTTGATAGGTCTTTGGTAGGTCAGGGTGAGAGATGATTTGGGATAGAGAGGAGGGAAACAGGGCTAGGATATTTGGGAGATAACTACAAGTATATAATAGCACTTACTTGTGATTTGTCTGTGAGAGCGGGGGAGAAGGCAAAGACAACTCTTGGGTAGCTGGTGGGGCCCCCAACCAGGACAGGGTGCATGAGAAAGGAAGGTGAGTCAGCTTTGGAGATGGTGACATGCAGGTTCCCAGAGAGGAGCCCGGTGAGAGTGGTCTGTACCGGGGGTGCTTGGTGGGTGTGGACTTCTGTGTCTGTGAAGGCAGTGGGTGAAATTCTGAGCAGGTGGAATCACCTATCTCAGTGACAGGGACCAAGGGTCAGGACCTGGCCTGGAAGGGTTGAGAAACTTTAGGGAAAGCCCTGAAGGAAGCCACACAGGCCTCTGGAGAGAGGCAGATGGACACCCCACAAGGCCTGGAGCTGAGCCTTCCATGGGGTTCTCCCCTCCTGCAAGAATAGAGCAAGTGGGCAGAACTGCTGGAGAAGGAGCCAGTAATGAAGGTCACGTTTTTTGGAAGAGAAAGTGAGGCTGGGGAAAGTGAGTCAGACCTCAGTGAGGCAGCGTGACGAGGGCAGCCTTCTTGTTGCCTATTTTGGGAAAGTGAGATTCCTTCCTTATTAAATAAAACACAGCCAGACTCGTGGTCACAGTCCCAGCCCAAAACTCAAAAGGGACAGGGCAGGTTCAGACAGGCAGAAGCTGTCCACACTGTAGGGCCGGTTCAGTCTCCCTCTGGGTTTCTCAGTGGATTCCATTATCGACCCATCTGAATGAGAAGGCCTCTGAGCCGGAGGAGACAGACAGAACGACTGCAGGAAACTTGGGTCTGCTGAATGCTCCCAAATCAAATTGTGTTTTCTGAAGGACAGACATCCAACTTATCAACATGAAAGACAATTACAGAAGGAAGGAAATAAGCATTTACTGACCTCGTCTTTGTGCCAGGCACTTTCCATACATTACCCCACTTAATCTCAGAATGACCTGGAAGGGTAGGAGTTATTATTGTCCTTCTTTTCGAGAAGAGGGAACTGAGACCTGAGGTGCTGTGACTTGTACTTAGTAAGCAGTGCTTCCCTGTGGAGGGGAAGCACAGGCCACGCCTTAACTCATTTAATCCTGTAATACCACATGAAGTGGATATTATTACTGCTGTTCTTTTATAGGTGGGGAAACAGGCACAAAAAGTTACGTAACTTGCCCAAGGAATACAGTTGGGATGTGGGGAAAACAAGCTACAAATTCAGACCATCTGGCACCAAACCTGTGTACTTGCAACAGCACACTTGCTTGCTTTACACAGGTGACAAATGACTCCAAAGCCACATTCTTTCGGTGTTGGTAGCTTGCTCCTCAGGCCTCAGGCTGCTTCTCCAAGCCTGTGCAGTGTAGTTTCGTATAAAAGCATACAGCCAAATGTGTGGTGATCACAGTTTGAAACTGGTAGGAGAGAAGAGGGAAGCATGGTCCCCAAACCCTCAGGTCCTCCCAGTGTGGCTCCAGATTTGTATTAGAGAGCTGAGAATATACAAAGAAGTGCTGGCCAAGGGCCTGGTGATCACGGTGGGCCCGAGGAGAAGTCACCTCAGAGCTGTGGATTGGGGCTCACCCTGACTGGCCGGTTGACCATGGGTCAGGCCCTTCTTAGCTCTGGGCCTCAATTTCCCTGCCTGTAAAACGCAGTGGTCTCTAAGGTTTATTTCAGCTCCAAGGTTCTGTCAGTTTTTTAAAAAACTGTAGATGTTATCAAATGGTTTGATAAACTTTTTAAAAATTATAGGTATTTTCAAATGTAAGGAATGTAAGGAAGAAAGTATTTGATCAAACTCATGTACTCATAGCCTAGCTCCATCAGTATTCCATGCATGGCCAGTCCTATTTCCCCACTTTCCTCTCCTCCAGTTGATTATATGAAAGCAAATCCCAGACATTGCCTCATCTCATGAATATAAATCATGATATTTATAAATCTAAAGAAATGTAACCATCATCATGCTTAGAAAGGAACAGTAAATTCCTCGGCAGCTTTGAATATGGAACTAAGAGATTTGAAAGTTCTATTTGATGATAGGTGAAAGGCAAACTGAAGTTGCTAGTATTAATTATAGCATCTTCAGAAATGTGTAGCCTGCTGGGCATAGTGATGCATACCTGTAGTCCCAGCTACTTGGGCAGCAGAGGTAGGATGAGTGTCATCCAGGACCAGACAGGGCAAAAGTATAAGAACTAACTAAAAAAGTGGGGGCATGACTCAAGTGGTAGAGAGCTTGTTTAACAAATGTGAGGCCCTGAGTTCAATATGTAGTACTACCATCAAAAAAACCCCAAAACAAACTTGTGGCCGGAGAAGAATTTGTAACGATATGTATCGAGTTAAAAGTGCATATACAGGCTGGGCATGGTGGCTCGTGTCTATAATCTCAGCTACTAGGGAGGCAGAGATAGGGAGGATTACGGTTTGAGGCCAGCCTAGGCAAAACTTAGTGAGATGCTATCCAACCAGTGAGCTGGGCATGGCGGCGTATGCCTGTGATCCTAGCTATGTAGAAGGATGTAGGTAGGAGGCTCGCCATCTGGCATAAAACGCAAGACCCAACTGCCTTAGACCACTAAAAAAAAAAAGAAATCTTTTATGACATCATTAGCCACATTTGCAGAGGATCTGTCACTGTGTGTCATGCGGCATGATGAGCACTGTACGTGTACCTTACCTTTATAAACAAGATCTCAGTGTCGTGGACAGTGGATAGTGGCCTCATGTCAGAGAGCTGTGACTATTTATGGGAAAAACTCTAAAGAAAAAGTGAATGGAAAAATATGTCATTAAATTAAAAATCAATACTGGAGTAAACAAGTTCTAAGGTCCCTGAAAGAATTAAAGTACCTTCCCTAAAATTAATGTATTTTCACTTTGTGTTGGGTCTTTCACCCTGTACTCAAAAGTAAACTGCTATTCCCCTGTGTACACCATGTAATTACCTCTGAGCCTTTGTACTGGCTGTTCCCTCTGCCTGAAATGTTCTTCCTTTCATTCTGTCTGACTTAACTTATTAGGCTTCCTGCAAGCATCTCAGCCCTAAACCTCCTCTTGCCTTCTACGCCTTCAGAATGTGTTGCCTGTGCTGTTCATCTGTCAGTCTCACTACAGTCCCGAGCCAGGCCCTGTATACGGTTTTGAATTGCTATTTAAGTTCCTGCCTGTTTGTCTTGTTTCCTTAACACTACGGTTCCTTGCCCCGTGCTGCCAACCATGGCATGGTGGATCTCCTCATTTGTCAAGCCCTCACTGAGTGCACCAAGCCTGGAGCTCAGGCCTTGGCAGTCAGCAGTGACCAAGGCGAGTTTCCAGAGACTCTGCACCTAGGGAAATTGCAGCCCTCTCCCACGTGAACTCCAGTGCCCCAGCTCATAAGCTGGCTGGTCTATTGCTGTGTGCCCTTCTTCCTCCAAAGGATTCTCAAAAGCAGCCTTCAGAGGAGCTAATTGAAGAACACTCAGAGAGGTTTCTGCTTGTGGACATTAATTGTGACAAGTGACTCTGCTTGAATGATCATGAAATTGTTGGAGGCCCCTTAGCAAGAAGCAAAGCTCAAGAGAGGCTATTAACTATTTTGCATTCTCTAAGCACAAAGGAATAAAAATTCCACTTATTGAAGAATAGGGAGAGGCAGTGTTTATTACAGTTAATGTACTGGCCTGGAGAGGTAGAAAGTTTCAGCCAGCATGAGAGCAGAATGAATATACAACACCTCAACACCAGCCAAGGTCTTCCTGTGTGTGCTGACAAGCACAACGACATTGCAGGAGGATGCTGGCAAAGTCTCCACAAAGCCTGTTCTGAGTGGCAGCTCTGTGAGTGTCTGCAGCTTGTGATAGTTGCATCACTGCCTCCTGCTAGTGCTGCCCTGGCCCCTTCCCAAGAGGGAGAGGTGCTTGTTTTTGGCAGTGGACTAGGGAGGTGGACATGGAAGTGCAACTTTATTGGGGTGACTGCATTGCCCTTTTTGAGTAGGTTATTAATATGGCCTTGTGGGGTGGGAGGGGCAAAGAAGAGGGGAAGCAGATGGAGCCACAGTTGGAGTGCAGCTGACGAGAGACAGCGGGTGGATCCTGGCTGCCCCATGGCTGTGGTTCAGAGAATGGATTGGCAGACAGGTGGCCCGGTCTTGAGGACCAGCCCTCCAGTGCCCTGTAGCCTCACCTCTCACTTGGCCGTCTGTGAGAAGGTAGTTTTGTTTGCTTAGGACTGTTGGGTGGTAAGCTGCTACCCTTTCCGGAGAAGCCAGGCAATACCTATTTATAGAGACCTTCTAGACCCCTGGTCCATGGCTGGGGCAGGCATGGGTGGGTGCCCTGTAGGATACCTGGAGAATTTTCTCTGGGTTCCAATGCCTGGGCCCCATCTTGGACCAACTGGGTTTGGATCCCCAGGCATGAACTCTGGACCCTAGATATCAGGCAGCCTCTTCCTGTGTCTCTATGGTACACTGCTGTTTAGAACTCTGGTCCAGACCCTGTAGACCGGCTTCCTGGGAGGCACATTTGTGGGGGTTCATTACCTAGCCAGGCAGTTCGTTCCATCCTTGGTATTGATGTTGTGCCTCATAGGACAGGCCAAACCCCTCACCTGTGTGGGTTCTTCAGATGTTGAATTCAACTGCCAGGTTATGCTGGTCTAAATATCCATGATGTTTTTTGTTTAACACTTATTAAACCCATCTATGAAGGAGGGAAGTTGGAAGATGCAGTAAGAGAGAGAATAAGGTGGAAAAAAACTCCACAAGACTGAAGTGTTAGGATGGAGCAGGTAGAAGTATGCAAAAATACATTTCTACTATTTTTCCTAACTACAAAAGTAGTGTTCCCTATGAAAATTCAAAAACAGTGAAAGAAAGAAAACAAAAATCCTTAATAATTCCATCTACCATTGTTAATCTTTTTGTGGATCTCTTTTTCATTAAACTACAGCTTTATAAACTTCCTTTTCTCTAACAATAGCAAATTTTTTCCATTTCATTAATATTAATCTGTGCCATCATTATTAAAAGCTATCAAGAGTCTGTCAGTCCCTGATTGATGGTCATTGTTCAGGAACTTTGAATTCCTTTTAAATTCCTGGATTCCTGGACCAAGAAGGCCCAGCTGGAACCCTGCCCCTTGTCACAGTCTGACATTCTTGAGGCCTGACCCTGGCTCACGCCTGCCCGCTCTCTGGCAGTCAGGTTCAGATGTGTTGAGGTGACTTTTGTGTGTCAAATGTGTTTGGAACTTGTTTTACAACCATTTGGGAGCTGCCTAGGGCCTGAGTGGGCCTGAGACAAAGCTTGAGCTGAGGTTCCTTAACTTGCCTCTCTCTTGAACATCCCTAGCTCCAATGGGGGCTGAGAGTCCCTGTGGAGTGCAGCTATCCCCATCTACCCAGCACCAGGACAGTGACGACCCAGCTGGGGGTTCTGAGCTTCTGTGGCGGTGGAGTGAGTGCTGTGGCAGGGCCTAGAATGCTCGGCCCCTCAGACCCGATTATGACCTGTAACCTCGGGATGGGAAACAATTCTAAGCCTGGGTTTTCCTCTGGAAACTGGAGAGGATTCCTCTTTGCCCACCTTGCAAAGTGAGAAGGACAAAGGAGCCCATGTGGCAGAAGTGTTCTGTAAGCTGTGGCACACATGGCAGCTGTGTGGGATGCTTCGTAGAGCAACTCCTGGTTCATCCTGGGGGGGCACTGACTCTTTGCTGTTCTCCCAGGCAGCGGGCGCTCATCGGCTGCATGAGCTTCGGGGTGAAGTCCCTCCTGACTCCGGACAAGGTGGGTCTCTGGATAAGGTGGCTCTCCAGGGAAGCTTCTAGCATGCCATCCAACCCCGGATGGACTGCTACTGGCAGGCTGCCTCTGGAAATCCTTGGGTGGAACTCCTATCTGTGACATGGTGCCCTGCTGAGGAAGGGCCTGAATAAAGGGCCACTGTTATTTGTCACCAGCATGGCTGAGGGGTTGGGTCCCCTTGCAGAGAGCAGTTAAGCGGCCCGAGGCCTCCCAAGAGGGAGGTGTTTGCTGTGAAGGACACTGGAAGGAAGGTCCCTAAGTGTGCAGAGCACTCCTAACCTGTCCTGGACAAATGGCCAGGTGCTCCTGGTGGCCTGCTGCAGCGGTCCTCTTGATGTGACTGCTGGGTCCAGCGGGTGCTTGGAGTGGATAGAGCAGTGCAGTCCTCTATAGCACTCCCTTCCGATTGAGTGAGGACTTGGGTTCTGGAGACCCACCCTCTGGGCCACCAGCTGTTCTTCACCTCTTGTCTGCAGTGCACCCCCAAATGGGAGGTGGGGACAGGGGAGGGATGCACTCCTTTTGTGCACCCCTAGAAATGTCATGGCCATCTCCTGCATGGCTCTGCCATCTAGCTTTGCGTCTTGGAACCGAAGTCTTGGGGGATGGCTATTTGTGGGTCCTTGTGATCTCCTTTACTGTGGCCTTGCTTCATTCCCTTGGGAAAAGGTGTTCGCCGTGGAGACTGCACAGGGGCCTCAAAATGCCTATGTTTGGCCTTTCCTTTGCTCTTTCCCTCCCTTCTGCAAACTTTTATTGGGTTCCTTCTGTACACCAGGCTCATGTTAGACATGTCAAAGTGCCTGTGTACATTCTGCTGGGAGAGGGGGCAGGCAGGTAGGCAAGTTCATAGTTGTTCTGGAGAAGAGGCTGTGGAGATTCGAGCTTGAGCGGGGGCACCAGTTCTGCCCTGAGCGTTAGGAAGACTTCTTAGAGGGGCAGGTATGGCAGCCTTGGGGAAGGAGGCTATACTGTAGCATCCTCTGAGGGAGGATGTCAACTGTTACGTTTGGGGAGGGGGTTGGTGGCTGCCTTACCTGTGCCTTCTGCCTCTGTCTGAATGTGTCATTCCTTCTCATGACAGGAGATCAGTGGCTGGTACTACCTGCTGGGGGAGAACCTGGGCAGGACCAAGCACCTGAAGGTGGCCAGGCGACGGCTACAGCCCCTGAGAGGCATGTGCATACTCTTCAGTTCCTTCCTGCCATGCTGACCACTCCCTCCCTTCCTGTGTGGCAGCATCAATCCCTGTTTTGTGGCACTTGCCACCCGGGCTACCATGAGTTCAGTGGGTCCAGGGACGCCTCACAAGCACCTGCTGGAATGCAGGCTGCTCTTGCCCACAATTTGTCTATCTGGTTGGACTCTTCTTAGAGAGGGCTGTGGGCCTTACCCCACACAATACAGTGCTGCTCCCTGTCCCGTCCCCCAGTTCACAGAGGGCTTCAGTGCTTCTCGGGTGGCTCCTTCCCAGGCTCCATGCTTAAGAACCCTCCTCTGGGGTGCCTTGCTGACCTGAGCCGCCCACTCCCACAGGCAGGGAGTTTAGGCCCTACCATGAGCCCTGAGGCCCAGGACTTGGATTTTGTGTCCCCTTCAGTTCTGACCTTCCCATATGCAGCCCTAGCTTCTGAATTCCTGCCTGGCCCAAGCCTTGGGATCCCTGTATCATGGAAGCCAGGAGTGGTCCAGGAAACCACATGGATCACCCAGCCTTGCCCCCTGGGTGGTCTGTGGTTGGGTCCTCTCATGCCAGCAGAAGTTTTCTGACCCTATTCTGTTACCCTCCAGGCACACTGCTGCTAATACCAGGAGGTGGGGAGGACACCAAGAATGGAGAGAAAGTCCAGGTAGGTGGGACAACCCCAGGCAGGGATGGTGGCACCTGAGCATTGCTTCAGGGGCTCTGATCTGCTACTTGTCAATCCTAAGGGAGACCCCACAAAAGGGCAGTATTTGGTGTTTGAAACTCAGCAAATTGTGTGTTCTGAAGGGAGTATTCTTGACTAAGGTGTATCATCAGAGATAGATGCTTTCCTCGGGTTATTCATGATAGTGACAGGAGTGAGGAGAGAGCTAGGAAATGGAGGTCTTAGAGCTAGGAATGGATTGGATCTTACTGACTTTTGGTCTCTAGAAGCTGAGTCCTCCTTTCCTCTAGACCCCAGGCCCTCTGCTTCCCTGGCACCATGGTCAAGTCACCTTTCCGGTTAGAACTGCAGAGAGCAGGGAGTAGCTGTGACCCCAGAACCTGAGAACAATGAGTTTTTGCTCTGCCAGGACCTTGAATCTGAAGAGGAACTTCTCAGAGATATTTGGGAGAATTCTCTATAATTTATTAGACCTCTTTGCAGAGGAGGGCAGGTGGTCCCAGGGTTTCTGTAACAACTTACAAACTCCCAGCAATGGATTAGCCTTTTAGACACTGTTAGGATTTAACTCTCAACCTCCACCCCTGAGGTATTTGTCATGGTCCCATTTTTTTTTTTTTTTGGTGGGGCTGAAGTTTGAACTCAGGGCTTCACACTTGCAAACCAGGCACTGTACCACTTGAACTACACTTCCAGTCCATTTTGCTCTGGTTATTTTTGGAGATGGACTCTCACAAACTATTTGGCCTGGGCTGGCTTTGAACTGTGGTTCTCCCAAACTCAGCCTCCCAAGTAGCTAGGATTATAGGTGTGAGACACTGGCACCTACTGTATCACAGTTCTATTTTACAGATTAGGGAACACTTCGGTTCAGAGGTGCTAGGTCACTGTCTGTGGCCACACAGCTAGCAAGAGGTGGAGGCCGGCTCTGAGGAAGGTATAGCTATCTCCTGGGCATGCTGTATCATGCTGTCTCCTGAGTGTGGGCTAGCTGAGGAAATACAATGTTGACATATCCCATAACATCTTACCTATAGGTGTACTGCAGTCTAGAAAAACGCAGTTCATTCATTCCCTTATCATTCATGAAGTATTCACACCTCTGTGGACCTGGCCTGGCACTGAGTGCTGGGTGTCAGGGTCTGGCCTTGTGGAGTGCACAGTCTGGAGCTGTACCATCCAGTGTGGTGGCTGCTTGCTGCCTTTAGCTATTGAGCACTTGATTGTGGCCAGTGGAACTCAGGAAATGAATGTTAACTTTTATTTCATTTTAAGTATTTTTAATTTATACGTTTCTAGTTGCCAGTGTACTGGACAGTGTAGTATTAGAGTAACTTGCTAGGTCTATTTTCTGTGACTTCAGGGGAGAGCTGTAAAGCCCTTCCTCCCTTTCTCTGTGCTCAGCAAGTGCAGAGAGGATAGTGAGCAGGGAGCGCCCTGGTGATTTGTGAGAATTACATGGATATCCTCACTGCAGAGCCCTGGGCGGCTCAGGAAAGTCTTGTTTCATGCTGGATCCTGCATACAGTCCCTGGGACAACTTTCTGCTGTGCATTGAACTCTCCTAGTCCTGTGTACTTGGAGATGTCTGTAGAGCTCAGCAAAGAGGGTGTGATTGGTAGAAGTTTGGGGAGAGTCAACAGAGGCCACCTCTTCAGCTCCTGCATTGTGCAGAAACCTGGGTCAACTGCCATGGTCACCCAGCATCCAAACCAGGGGTCAGCCTCTGTCATAAGGACATGAATAGGTGAGTGGGTGGGATTCCCCAAGGCCTTCCAGGTGGGCAAAGGAGGCTGGGCGCACACTGTGCTGCTTTACAGTGTATAAACTTGGGGCTGCAAGGCAGGAAACAGTTATCTGGGGTCTGCCCTGACATGACCTTAACCTGTCTAGGCCTCGGTTTCTTCACTGGTAAGATGGGGATGCTGGATTGTCCCCTCCCACATTTATTTGATGGTTCACATGTCATCAGACCTTTCATGCAGCCACTGTGTAGATGAGAAAACTGACTTATACATAGCTTGTGGGTGGCATGTGGTCCTTAGCCTCCAAGTATTTTGTGTTCCCTGGCCTGGGACAGGATGTCTGCAGGCACAACCTCGGATTCTATAGGCTGGACTAGTCCCCTGGATTTGCTCCTGGGGACCCTGGGATGTGCAGGGGAGGGAGCGCAGTTGCAGAGCGGGGCGTGTTTTCTGCCTGGGTTCCCCTCTGGCAGGCAGCAAGGGGTGTTTGTGAGAACACTGGACGCACAAAGTGGCCCATGGCGGAGAATGCAGCCAGAACAAAGGCGCCCTCTCCCCGCCAGGCCTGGGGAATACTAACTAGTTGACAGGAATTTTAATATAAAACTCTCCCTCTTCCTTGTCATTCTGAGGTTTCAGGAAGCCTTCTGGCTTATCTGCAGAGGCACACAGCACAGACAGGGCTTGGGGAGGTGAGAGGTGATTTCCTGCCATTCTTCTGTGGGGCGGGCTTCCCAGGGCGGTCATGCCAGGCTGACGGGTGCAGTGAGGGCTCCCGCTGCTGGGGGGGAGAGCTGGGTTTTCATGGGGCAGCAGCTGAGGCAGGACCCGCAACCATGAACCGCTTCAATGGGCTCTGCAAGGTGTGTTCGGAGCGCCGCTACCGTCAGGTGGGTGCTTGGCCCCTTGGGGGACCTGTGGGGTTTTGAGGGTTGGGAGTGGGAGCTCACCTGAGCAGGACCTCTCTCCCCACAAGGCCTCCATGCCTCCTGTTCCCTACAGGCACATTTTGATCTGGGGCTGGGTCCAAGGCCAGCCTGTTACCTGCCACCCTGCCTTGGGGCAGCCTCGGCTCTGTGCTTTGTCCTAACCACTGGCTGGGTGGTGTCTGTGGTGAGATGATGGAGCCAATTTTCTACTGTTGTTATCTGGTGAGGGGTGTCCATTAAAAACAGCATCCTAGGGCTGAGATTGTTACGTGGTGGCTGAGCAGCTGGTGCTTCTGGAGGCAGTTTGGTGTTTTTGTCAACTTTCCCCACTTCTGATGGGATGGCAGGACCTGCTCTGCCCATTGCGTGCTTTGTTGTGTGCAGAGTTGCATGGCTCCATGTATATGTGCACACACATGATTTTCTCCACACCCCCTCACCCCCCCCACAGCACTCAGCTGAGTCTGGAGGTGGCCTAGGGCTCCTGTGATTTTGGACTCCAACTTCACTGAGCAGGTCTGGTTTCTCGGATGGCCTCCCGTCTTGGAAGTTGTGGTGGGGATTGAACCCAGGGCCTTGCACATGCTGGGCAAGCACTCTACCACTGAGCTACATTCTCAGCCTGAGGATTTTCTTTTCTTTAAAAAAAGAATGGGGTCAGGGAGCGTGGAGGCTAAAGATGCCCAGATTTTGGGAATGTCCAAGTTGGAAGGGAGCACAAAAATTATTCTGACTTAAAAAATTTAGAGAAGTCCCTTTGCTTGTTTTAATTACTTTACTGGAATCTGGGTCCTGACTCCTCTGACAGCAGATCCCAGGGAGGTGCCAAGAGGGGTCCCCTGTATGCCCACACCTGCCGCTAGGGGACCCAGCCCTCTTCTGCTCTCAGGTCCTGCCCTGCCAGCCCCACTCTATTACCGCCCTTCTGCAGCCAGGTAGAGCAGCCCCTGTGACACCAGCATTGTGAGGCAAGGAGCACACTGGATAGGAGGTCATGGACTCCCAGATCTCCTTGGTCCCATGGGCCAGAAGTCTGGGGTGCGCTGGTGATGAGAATGGGGCTAGGCATGAGTGTGTACTGGATTGGGGCTCTGGGATTTAAGATGGCTTCTGTGTTAGAAACCACTGCAGAGTTGACAGCATGGAGTTTTCTATGAGATGGGGGCTCAAGTCCAGCTCTGTCCCCTGAGCTGCAGCCTCAAGCGAGTCACTATCTGAGTCCCATCTCATGGTCCTTAAAATGGGGGTAGTAAAATAGGGACAATGCTGTTAGAGTAAATGGAATGGGGCCTATGAAGTGCCTGTCTTAGTGTCTGCTACTTGCATCTAGGGCGTGTTTGATAAGTGGTGGTAGTTGGTGACAGAAGTCCAGGCATAACAGAGCATTGGAAAGCAGGCAGGGGAGCAGAAGTGAGGAGTCAGCATGACTGAGACCTGAGAGCAGTGGCAGTGCCTGTCCTGGACAGCAAAGAGCAAGAACCACTCCCAGGAAGGACAGCCTCTGTGAGGAGTGGCTGAGGTCCCAGAGTCATCAGGGCTCCCGCCCCCATGCACACACCTGAGATCCAAGGTCAGAGAAGGGCTGGGCCTTACTCATTTTGGGCCTTGGTTTCCTTCTCTGTAAAATGGGCTGCTAAAACTGCCTTCCCCATAGGGCACAGCGATGCACAGGCTCTTTGGATACTACCCTCAACATGGTCAGTAATCACGAAGGCTAGACACAGCTCTGCTTCCTTCACTCAGTTCACCCTTCCCGCTGCGGCAGGAGACCATGCTTGCTTCCTTAGGCCTGCCACTCCTCTGCCCCCAACCTCTCAGCTGGGCTGGACTGTTCTCTAGGCTGACTCTTTTTAAAGTGACACTCAGGAAGGTGGAATGGCTTCCATCCCTGCCTGGACCAGGGGAACAGGGCGTGGGAACACACACCTCTCTAGACTCAGCTTTGGAACCACTGCTTAAAACCTGTGCCTGGAGCCCAGGGGGGCTGGGGCCTGTTTTCCATGAGGGAGGGGCCAAGGTGCCCTGCTGGGGTAGGATAGGGGAACTGCTAAAAAGACTTTGGAATCCAGCTTTCTGTGTGTCTTGGGGTGGGGTGGGAGGAGGTCTTCCAAATCCCCTGAAAATCCCTGCTGGTCTCATGGAGTAGATGAGGCTCTTGAATTCTCTGAGGCTCAGCTGGGTTGGGCAATTAGTGGTCTCCCCTTTCCCCCAGCTTTCCACACTCGCTCCTCAGTTTGTTTTTCTTTCTTTCCATTTTTTTCTCTTCCTGTCTTAGCTGCGTGTTTTCCCAGAATTCTTATGGGAACAGGGTATTTTCCTGCCCCCTCCCCCTTCCCCTTGTCTGTCAGATTTCCTGTTTTACAAACTTGCTTTGAATCTGGGCCCAGGGATGGTGGGAAGCAGAGCCTCAGGGGCCCCTGCAGCTTCCAGGGGCCTTGGTCACCCTGGACCCTGCCTGCTCCCCTTCCTCATGCCTGGCCTTGGGAGAGCCAGCAGGTGAATGCAAGTGCCAGCCCTAAAAGACAACCCTAAAGGAGGGGGATAGCCATCTCTGGACAAGGCTATGAACTTGACCTTTTCCAGGCTTGCTGAACTGGCTTCTTCCTCAACCTGCCTAGGATATCTTCCCTGTACCTCTTTAGGGCCCACTCAAAGCCCAACCTCTTCTAAGGAGACTCTTGGGAGACCACTGACACCCTTCTCTGACTTTGCTCCCTGAGTAGCCCAAGTGAACCAGCAGGCCACACTGTACACTATGTCCTTTTGCTGGCAGGTCACTGATATAGCCTTTACTGAGTTCCTACTACGCACTAGTGTGGTGTCTGGAGTCACAGCACAAAGGGCCATTTGTGGCACAGTCTCCCTGTTTTGCTGATTTGCTTGTCAAGCCCTACTTTGCTTTGGAGAGATTTGTGTATCTTCTTGCCTCTCTGGGAGGGAGCCAGAGACCAAGGCCTCATGCAGAACCTGACACGCAGTAGGAGCTCAATAATTGTGTATTGGTTTGGAAAGAGCGTCCTGATGGCAGGGCCCTTCTGTGGCCTGAAAGTCAGGTTGTGGACCTACCATGTGCCCAGCCCTCAAAGGCATAGTGAAGTCTGGCTAGTGCATGTTTAGTGGGAGGCCTGGCTGTGCCCTCACCTGTCCCCTCACTTGGGAGCCCTCACTGGCTGCTTTGAGGCTCTGGCCCACAATTTTCTGAAACCCCAGCTCTCTCTTGTGAGGAGACCCTTGACCTGAGGCTGAATGAGTATATACCAGTTTTCCCTCCTCTGTGCTCTAGGAGGGCAGCCACCAGGTTGGCTTGTCTTTGGGCTGGGCCTTCCGCACAGGGCCAGCCCTGGGCTAATGTCCCAAGACCTCTGTGGGAAAGGAAGAAGGGAGTAAGGTAGGCAGTGGATCCTGGGCAGCAAGGGGGAGGTGCAGTCCTAGTGGGCCCTTGGGTAGAGGGCTGGGGCTGATAGGGCCAAGGAGAGCCATCTTCATCCTTCCCAGGCCCTGTCCATCCCAGGCTCTGCCTGTGCGGACCAGAGTCACCTCCTGAACTTTCAACATCCTTGCTTGGTCCACAACCCAGTGTCAAGATGCCTGGTCCCAGAAAGGAACAGAACAGTGCAGGACTGGTCAGCTACTTCTTGGCTCTGGTTCCTGTGGAGAGGAGGGTGGCTCTGGGTGGGGCTTATGGGTTTCCCAGCCTCAAGGCTCCCGGGAGTGACTGGGCAGGGCTGTATCCTAGATCACCATCCCGAGGGGCAAGGACGGCTTTGGCTTCACTATCTGCTGTGACTCTCCGGTCCGAGTCCAGGCTGTGGATTCTGGTAAGTGAGCAACACAGGATGCCAGCTCTGCTCTCCTGCCATGCACCTGGGCTTTACAGACAGGATAGAGCTGGAAGGGAAGCCCCACACTGGAGCAAAGAGTCCTGGGTTTTCAAAATGAAAAGAATAATATTTTTAATTGACTGCAGATGAACTGAGGTTTATGAAAATATGCCCACTCTTTTTTGTTTGTTTAGTTTTTATCTAAACAAAGATAGGTCTTTCTATTTGACTCCCAATCATTTTGAACAGGAGCTAAACCTGGATTTCTATGATGGCTATATGGGAAAATGAGAGCCATTTATGAGTTCTGTTTGGAATCGGTATCTGATCCTACTACAAGCCTTAGATTAGAGGTGACCCAAGGGACTCCTTTGGTATCTCTGCATAACATGGCCTCTTACATCCCTTCCTTAATTGTAGCCACTCCTTCCCTACTTTTCACGAGTAAAAGGTTACTCCTCATCAAAGAGGTATAGCTTATGGGCAGAAGCCAGGCTTAGTAGTCAGGTGTCCCTAGTACCTGCTCTGGGATGGACGTGGAACTGTGCTTAATTAATGGGGTAGGGGAAATGGCGTAGTGTGTGAGCCTGGCACAGGGACAGGTTCTCAGTGGGCTAGGAGGCCCTGAGAATGGAGGGCTTGGGTGGAGGGGTGGGCAGCAGAGGTGGCCAGCACTGTGGGGAGGGAGGGGCAGGCAGGCAGGGATGAGGTGAGGGCAAAGAGTGATGGCCTCGAGAGCTACCGAGTTAGGCTCACGTTTTCACAGACAGAAAAACAGAGAGAGCAGAAGGGCAGCCTTTGTCTAAGATCACCATGGAAGCTAAGGGGACTCCTTGTCTTTTGAGGGGCTCCAGGGCCTCCTGAATAGCTTTTCTTTATCCCTGTAGGGGGCCCGGCAGAGCGGGCAGGGCTGCAGCAGCTGGACACGGTGCTACAACTGAACGAGAGGCCGGTGGAGCACTGGAAATGTGTGGAGCTGGCGCACGAGATCCGGTGACAGGGGCAACGGGGCGGGCGATGGGGCCTCGGGCTGATGGCATGGCACATCTCTCCCACCCCAGTGCTGGCCACACTGCCTTGCCCTACCCTGCTCTTGCCAGTCCTTCCTTTGCCCAGCTGGAAGCAATTCACTGTGCTCCTCAGGGATTCCATTTCTTGGCTTGCAAATGGAAGGTTCAGGCTCAGAGCAATTTTGGATCCCACAGCAAACAGCAGGGATGAAGCTCTCAAACAGACCCTGCAGTTCACGATGTGGTTCCAGGGGCTGCTTTCCACTTTAGCTAATTATTTCTGCCACCTAAGAGCCCGAGCCCTTTGTTTAAGGGTGTGTAGTTATTGCAAATGCTTTAATTGCACAACTTAAAAATCATTCTTTAAAATGTTTGCGTTCCTTAAATTTGACCCCCTGGGGTAAAACCCGAATGACTTCATTTAGGTTTGCTTGTAGAATGACTAGACAAAGCCAAGCATGGTGGTGCACACCTGTAATTCCAGTCCTAGGGAGGCTGAGGTAGGAGGATCATGACTTTGAGGCCAGCTAGGATAGAGTGAGTTTGAGGCCAGCCTAGGATATACAGTGAGTCTCTGCCTCAAAAAAAAAAAAACAAAAAGTTTAGAATGACTAGATGAAGGTTTACTTGTTCCCATAATAGCCACCATCACAAGTTAAATATGTTGCTTTTTCCTGTTGAGCCTGGCTTTGGCCTCAGGGTCAAGCTCACTCACTGCTGAGTGAGCTTAGGTTAGGAATGATCCAAGAGACTCTTTGTCATCTCTGCAGAACATGGCCTCTTACATCCCTTTCTTCCCTGACTCTTGGAGCTTCTCCCCTGTGTTTGCTTTCTCCTCCTGTCCACTTTCTTTCTGCACTGTAGGCTCCTAACCTGGCTGACTTTGGACTCCCCAAGACTCAACTACTCTGTGTGATCCCCCGACTTCCAGGAGCTGCCCCAGCGAGATCATCCTGCTTGTGTGGCGTATGGTCCCCCAGGTCAAGCCGGGGCCAGACGGTGGAGTGCTGCGGCGGGCTTCTTGCAAGTCAACACATGACCTCCAGTCACCCCCCAACAAGAGGGAGAAGAACTGTACCCGTGGGGCCCAGGCACGGCCTGAGCAACGCCATAGCTGCCACCTGGTGTGTGACAGCTCGGATGGGTTGCTGCTTGGTGGCTGGGAGCGCTACACCGAGGTGGGCAAGCATGGGGGCCAGCACACCCTGCCTGCACTGTCCCGTGCCACGGCCCCCACCGACCCCAACTACATCATCCTGGCCCCGCTGAACCCTGGGAGCCAGGTATGGACAGCTGGTATGGGGAAGAGCTGGGTCCCTGTGGCAGGCTCGGAGGTCTCAAAGGCTCAGAACTGGGTTGTGAGCAGCCTGAAGGGGGCTGGGAGTGTTGGACAAAGAGATGGGGTTGTGTTGGCTGTGGCCTCTGCAATGCTGTCCCGGGTAGAGGGTACAGATGGGCCTGGATGGTCTCAGAGCACAGATCCAGGGCCGCAGTTGTGCAGGCTGGAGGATGTTAGCTTTCCCAGTGGAATGGGTTGCCCCGGTGGGTAGTAAACCCCTCATTGTAGGAGGTACGATTGCATGATTACATGACGAGGTGCTGGGGTGTGTCCCCCCAAAAATTATTCCCAGGAGATGATCTGGGAAAATAGAGTTCTGAGGTTTTCTAAGTTTTCGAAATACCCTGTACTCTTCCCTTTTGGAAGACTTCCCATGGCATTAGCCTGCTTGAGGCTCTGAGGGCATCCTGTAGTAAAGAAGGTAGTCTAGCCAGGTGCCAGTGGCTCACACCTGTGATTTTAGCTACTGAGGAGGCAGAGATCAGGAGGATCACAGTTCGAAGCCAGCCCAGGAAAATATTTCGTGAGACCTTTCTTGAAAAACCCTTCGTAAAAATAGGGCTGGTGGAGGGGCTCAAGGTGAAGGCCCTGAGTTCAAGCCCCAGTACTACAAAAAAAAAAAAAGAAAAAGAAGGTGGTCTAATCTTGTTTAACCCAGTGTTTCCAAATCTTCCTTGATGGTGGCATAGCTATTAGGGTCTCACCACTCCAGTGAGCCATGGGATGCACTTTGGAACTAGTGCTATAGAGGAAGTTGAGGTCTCTCCAAGGGATCTGACTTCATGGCACATAAAGCTTCTTTCAACTGTTTCCTCCAAGCCCCCTCCTCAGCAGCTGAGCAGGGCTGTTGTTTTCCCCTTGTGCCCTAAGATTCTCCACTTCCTGTCCCCCAGGCCTGGGGTCCTGGACCGACCTTCCTCGTACCTAGGGTTGAGATGCTTCTCCTGTCTTTCCCTTGCAGCTGCTGCGGCCTGTGTACCAGGAGGACACCGTCCCTGAAGGTGAGTGATAGCCTGCTACTGTGCCTGCTTGCCTTGGAGAGATGGTGGAGGTCAGCTGAGGCCTAGTCCGGCCTCTTGCTCTGAGTTCAGAGGCCTTTCTGATGAAGTCAAGGTGGCCCACCATGTCACCCACCCCTTTCTTCTTGGTACTTTTTTACTTTCACTGAATCAGTGTGTTTTCCCTTGAAGGCTGAACTGAGAAGGAAGAGAGCGACCTGCCAGAGCTATCTAAGTAAGAGACAGCATGCTCAGGACTCAGGCATTCAGTTGAACATCATCCAGGGTACTGAGCTGTGGTTGGGCCTTCAATGGAAGGGAGTCATGGAGTGTGGAGCTAGGAGGCCTCAGGTTGGAGTTCTAGCTATGTGACTTTGAGAAAATCATGTCTCCTCGCCACAGCTCAGTTTTGCCATCTATAAAATGAGGTCAGTAGTTCCTCTCAGAGGATTGTGGGAAAGATATACGAGAACATGGCTGTGAGCAGTCACCTGCATGCTGAGAGCTGTGACATAGGATGGTTGTCTTTGAAGTACAGATTCTTCTTTGGCCTGCAAACCCTAGCCAGGGGTGGAAGTTGGCTCAAACCAACCCCTACTCCGGGAAGCCTGAGGTATGAATCTTGATGCTGGAGATGGCTGGGCATTTCATGAAGTCCTCATGCACTTGCCAGAGGGCTCTGAGCTGAAAGTCCAGCTGGTAGCTGCACGGTTGAGACCAGCCTTATCAGTGGCCTGCAATGCCCACCTTGAGAGTGCTTGAGTCCATCTTCTGGTGCCTTGGTCTTCTAGGACAGTAGCCAGTCCCAGACTGCTTTCTTGCTTGTTCCTCCCCCTCAGTGGAGTGAAAATGATTATTATAGCAGATACGTGGAAGAGTACTTACGCCTTTGGGGGACAGAAGGGCTCCCCGTGGGCTCAGGGGCACTGATGGAAGGCACCTTCTTTCTTTCCCCTCTGAGGCCTTTGAGTGTTAGTCCTGATCTGTTGCAGATGAAGCCCTGCTCTTTCTTGGGAGGAGCCTGTTAGGGATTCAGCAGTGTCTGAAAGCTTTTAGTCAGCCCATTAGGTTAAAATGAAGATGTCACTACTAAATGGTGACTTCATTAAGGGCTGGGCCTGGCATATTTCTGTGTGTCTAGTGTCAGACCTGTCTAGGGGCCTGGCAGACAGAAGAAACTTGGTAGAGTTTCAGCTGAGTTACTGACTGAAGAAGAATGATTGTACAGGTTTGAAGCCTGATCATGGAGTAAGGGAGCTGGAGAGGTGTGTTCCCTGCCGTGGCCACATGGGCATGGTCTAGGAGGTCTGGAATTGATCTCCTCTTAGCCTGAGAGATGCCTCGGTGGTTACTCCCAACCTGTGTCCTCTGAGCATATAATACAAAGAAAGGTACAGTCATCTAAGCCATGGGGAAAGGAACAAGTAAAGAAATTATGATGTTAATAACCACAACTTTTTGAATGCATTGTATCAAGCTTTTGGCTTTGCTTCATTTATTCTTCATAATAATAATGATCCTTTGGGTATCCAAAGATATCTTTGCTCTTTTCCTAGGGATTAAGTCTTTGCAGCTCCCAGTCCTGGAGTTCAGAGAAAGGGATGAAATTCGGGGCACAAAGCTTCCATTAAGCACACTTGGGGTTGTCCAGAGGTTAAGGCTGTCATGAGGGTGCCAACCTCTGAGTTCCCTGACTGGTCTGCCAAGATTAGCCTTTCAGGATTGAGGGTTTAGCCATCCTGAATTGAATAGGGTCTGGGGATCTTCTGGGGCCTAAAGTGCCTGTCCTGCTGTAGTTGGCATGTGCCTGGGTCTGCAGTGCCCTGGGCATTGTCCTCTACCCTGTGAAGGCAGCATGGCCTCAGATTCACCACTGCCAGGCCGGATGACTGCCAGGGCTCGCCTTGGAAGCTGAGAGCAAGCCGCGTAATGTCTGTGTTTGGCCAGTGAAGCAGGTGTTAAGAGGAAAAAGGGGAGTTATGAGGGTTTGGACCAGACGTCGTCGTGGGTGGTAGTAAGTGGGAAGTAATAAGTTTGCCTTCCCAGAGCTCAGCAACCGGGTTGCAGTCTGGACTTCTGTAAGAAAAGATACTCGGAAAAATTAGTCCTGGAGAGCTATGCCTCCTTGCCCTGCATCACCAGGGGGTGTGGCAATGGAGCTCCCTGGTGTGACTGTCACCTAGGTTGAATTTACCAGCCCAATGACCTTGGGCAAGTCACCCAACCACTCTGCGCCTCAGTTTCCTTGTCTATAAAATACATTAAGCATGTCTTTCCTTTCTGAAGGCAGAATGATGGGTCAGGTGGTTGGTGATTCCAGAGGCCCAAGGTGAGGATTCTCTGACAGTCCTGGGCAGCTGGGCCAGGGACAGGAGGGAATGGCTTCTTTTAAAAGTCTGAGACCTGGGGTCCAGGGTCCAGATTTTGCCATGTGCAACTGGTATCCTCCTTGAGTTTGGTCTAGGTGACCTCAGTCCCATGCTTGTCAGTCCTGCTTGGTTTTGCCTTCTCTGATCAAGGCTTGGCATGTCAAATTAGCCTCTCCAGTTCCAGGCTTCCCCTTTGGCTCCTCTTATGGCATGGTTTGAGGCCCAGTGGCCTTGTCTGTCCTTCCATGGCCTTAATGGGTGGCTTATTCAATGGTTTAGGGTTTGAGACAATCCAATCCCCACTCACGCTGGTATAGCCCACCAAGCCCTTTCTTATGAGGCCCTTATGTGAATTCCTGCAGGGCTGCCTGGGTCAGGCAAGGCAGCAACCTATTATCTCCATGGGGGAGCAAACTAACCCAGAGGGGAAGGAGCCTGTTCAGGGTAGCACAAGTCAGTCTTTGACTTGAGAAGTCAGTGCTTAAATTTAGGTCTTAATCAACTCAAATCCTGTGCAGACCTTGAGAGGCAAGGTGGGTTCTTCCAGCCAAGGGGCCAGGGCCTGACTGCACTGACACCCTCTACCCCAACACTGCCAGGCCCAGACCAGATGAGCAGATGAGGAGCTGTGTGACTTCTTTCCCTGTACCTGTGCCTCGTGTCCTCCTCCTTGGTGCCTGCTTTCTACTTCTCTCTAAGCCACTCACCAGAAGAGGCAGGAAGTGGTTTGAATTACCATGGTTTGAGTGCTGCCCCCAGATTCAACTGTGATGGTGGTCACTTGTGGGGGTAGAAGGAGTCAACTTGTTTTTCTCACCTTTCAGAGAGGAGGGTGGGAGGAGGAGGCAAGTGTGAAACCTTCTGGTCTGTTTCCTCCAAGCAGTGGCCTTGCGTTGGTGGGGACATTCCCCGAGATGTAGTTGGGTAGGGCCACCTGTTCACACATTGGCTGTCAGGGCCACGGGTAGAAGGAAGCTTGGGCACTGGCACCCAGGCTGGATACCCAGGGAGCGAGGGCCTGCCTGATTACCCCCTGGCAGGAAGAACCCTTGGAAGGTGGCACATGTGGGCAGAGCCCACTTGCTCTGTGATTTGTCCTCCTGCTGTGTCCAGAATGGGCACAGTGAATGACATTTCTTATTCTAGACTGACTGTAGCTCTCTTGGCTAGTGGATGGCAGACCCTGATATAACCTAGTAAAGCCACTGTCTCTGCATCCACTGTGGAGGATGGGTTTTTGTCCAGGGTGCCTAGAGGTGAAGGATAGTCTGGCTAGACTGAGATTGTGGCAGGGGAGTGAGGACACACCCTGCCACACGAGCAGTTGCTTCTGCTCCAGCTCATTGTTCTGTGTGGGACTTCAGGATCACTGAGGTCAGATCTGATTTTTTTAGAGATGAGCAACTTCTTTTTTTTTGGTGGGACTGGGGACTGAATTCAGGTCGTTGTGCTTGCTAGGTAAGCGCTCAACCACTCGAGTCACAGCCCCAGCCCTTTAGGCTTTTATTTGTTTTCGGATAGACTCTCATGCTTTTCCCTGGGCCTTGGACTGTGATCTTTCTACCTTTGCCTCCTGAGTAGCTGGGATTACAAGAGTGTACCACCATACCCAGGCCCCACCCTTGATTTTTAATATTACAAGGCCAGTAAACAGTAGGTCTGATTTGGGATCTGGGTTGTCGGATGGGAATGGCTGTCCTTCTCACAGTTGTTGGTTTCCAGTGCTATCCTAGCCCTGGAAATGTTTGTTAACATGTTAGTCTCTCTCATGAGACTAGGAGGGAGGCCCGAGACCTGGCCAGAACATCGCTGTGTTCTTAGCTCCTTGCACTGGATGGGCCTGGCTCAGAACCAATTATCAGTCAATGGTGTAGACTGACTGGGTCTATGCTCCCTATTGCTGCAGGGACACCCTTTGCAGGGGTGGTGGAAAGGCCTCACTGCCCCTTCTCTGTTCTATAGAGTCTGGAAGCCCCAGTAAAGGGAAGTCCTACACAGGCCTGGGGAAGAAGTCCCGCCTGATGAAGACGGTGCAGACTATGAAGGGCCATGGGAACTACCAAGACTGGCCAGTCCTGAGGCCTCACGTCCCACACTCAAGCTACGGCACCTATGTCACCCTGGCCCCTAAAGTCCTGGTGTTCCCCGTCTTTGTTCAGGTGAGCCTGTGGCTGGCCCCAGGGTTCCCTTAAGAGGAAGTGAGAATGAGGAGGGGCCTTGATCCCAGGTCTCTGAGTGGTTCCTCATTCAGGATCCCTTTTGGAACAGACAAACAACTCCAGTGGTTATGTAGGGGAGCAAAGGTTTCCAGGGGACCACATCAGAAAGCATGGAGCAGTTAAGAAGGTGTTCTTCTTCCTCTCCCAATTTCCCCCTCCTCTGGGGCCTGAGCAGGTGCACTGCTTGCCATACAGTCACAGGACTGTCTTGGTGAGGCCTCATCCAGTGGTTGTTGTCTGGAACTAACCAAGGGAGGGAGAGTTTAGGTAGCTGGTCAGTATTCACTGGTGATCCAAGATTCATCTGGATCTCCTCTCTCCTACTTTTTCCTCTTCTTCCCTCTCTTCTTCACCATTTCTCTCTTCTCTTTAAAGCTAATCTTTATTCATTCCATACCCAGATATAACCTGTATGAACATTTAGGTGTCTTTTCTGTGTGCATTTGTATACCTATTAAACAACACATTTTATTCTATATCCTATTGCTTTTTTTCTTTTTTTCAGTGTTGGGGATCAGACCCAGGATTTTGCACATGCTAGACAAGTGCTCTACCACTGAGCTGTGTGCCCAGCCCTGGTTTTTTGAGACAGGGGTTTGCTAGGTAGTCCTAGGCTGGCCTTGAAGTGGTGATCCTCCTGCCTCTGACTCCTGAATGCTGGGATTACAGGCATGAACCAGCACGCCTGACTTCTGTTGTCTTTTTTTTTTTTTCAACAAAAATTATAGCATGAATGTTTCCAACCTCATTAGTTGTTCTTTGAGCCTGAGTTTTATGGTGCTTGCCCACTCTTCTGTCATATGGTTATATCGTGTTTATTTAACCAGTTCTCTATTCATATACATAAGCCTACTCTTTTGCTGCAGATAACTCTGTGATGAAAGTCTTTGTGCGTGAATTGTATCTCTGGTTATTGTTCTTGGGAAAGATTCCTGGAAGTGAGATGGCTGGGTCGTGGGTTCTGAATGTGTTTAACACCCTTTAACATGATTGACAAAAGGCTTCCCAGAAAGATTTATTAGTTTATTCCCTCAGGAGCAGCAGAGAGGTGACATAGCCCCAAGGGCTTAATTTCTGACTGCCCCCTCCTTCTCTTGTCTCCCTGGCATCCAACCAGTGCCAGCAGATCTTAGAATTCCCACTTGGTCAGGACTTGACATGTCTGTGGCAGGCAACACGTCTCTCCCTTGACAGCTCTCCTGGCAGGGTCTGGCCTGTACCTTTCTGTTGGTCTCTTCTCTTTCTTAGGATGCAACACAGAAGTCTTGGTATCCCTGGGTTTTTTTGAGACAGGATCTCTCTATGTAGCCCAGGCTGGCCTTGAACTCACAACCCTCTCTCCTCAACCTCCTGAGTGCTGGGATTATGACAACATACCATGGTGCCTAGTTATTTTTTCTTGTTGTTTTAAAATTGTTATTAAAAAAGAAAATTGTTTTTTAAAAGTTATGAAAAGTTTTTGAAAAAATTTAAATCATGAAATATATAAACTAAAAGTGGTATAATACTTACCTGTACAACTTGACAAGTAATTATAAAGCAGATATCCAGAAAGATAAAGAATGGATCTTTGCTGGCCACGCAGAAGCCTGCATATCTCTTCCCGGTCATGATGTCTTCCCTTCCTACCAGAGGTACCCTTCCTGGCTGGATGGTGAACACTTCTAAAGCTTTTCTTTAGATTTACCATTTGGGTCTGTTTCCCTAAATAACGTGTTCTGCTTGGCTTTTTTTTTAAGTCAAACGCTCTCATTTGGCTCTTGCTTCTTTGGCCTCACATTTCTTCCAAGCTCCTTTAAGTTTTGCGTCGCTAGTACTCATTTCGTTATCTTTCTTCAACACCTTGCTTGTTCAGTCAGGTACTTAGAGGCCATAAGGAGACATTCACAAAGACAAGGCCTGCTGGGTAATAATCTAGGGCTTAGGGAACTCTCTTTGGGCTGGACTGGGCAGGGGGATGGGATGAGAAACTTGGGTGAGAATTGGTCCCTGGGGAACTGACAAGGAGTCAGTTAGCTCAAGTAGCTCAAGTGCGCTGTGAATGCAGAGCAAGGAAGGTCTGGCCCCAAAGGGACTCAGGTGACCAAATTTCTTGGCATGTGGCTCTCAAGATGCCTCGAGGACCCGACAACAGGCACCTTCCTGTGAGGCAAGAATAGGACAGATGGGGGCTGGGAGGGCCCCAGAGCCCAGTGCGGGGGCGGGCAGTGGTGGTGGTGGGGAGGACTGCAAAGGGCCTAAGTTTGTGGTTGGACTTCCTGCCACAGAGCACAGCTCTCACAATGAGGGCTGCTGGGGAAGGTGGCAGCCACAGCTCCACACAAGACGGGAGCATGTGTTTTTCTGTTTCCATCTTGTGTACGAGGGCTGTTTGGGTTCTCAGAGGAGGGGGAGGGCTGCAGTCTTCTCTCTGAGAAAGACTTCCTTATGGCTGGCTTTGGCACGCTCCCCACCCCTCCCTCCTCTTTGAACTGCCCACTCAGCTCTAGCCTTGCTGTGTTCTCAGCCCCTAGATCTCTGTAACCCTGCCCGGACTCTCCTGCTGTCAGAGGAGCTGTTGCTGTACGAGGGGAGGAACAAGGCTTCCCAGGTAAGATGCAGACGCACTGCCAGGCTGGCTTTTCTTCTGGACTCCTTGGCCATCCTCCAGGCCTGTCACTCTTTTCTCCTCCTAATGGTCTTAGAATTATACAATTGTAGGGTTGGGGAGACCTTAAAATTCTTTTCATCCCTTCCCCTCCCCCTTGCTAAATGGCTACCTTGCTTGTACACTTCCAGTGATGGGGAGCTCACCACTTCTCACAGCTGTTTAGTCCATGATTGATGGTTAGAACATTCCCCCATAACCCCTAAGACATCCTGTTGTTCTTCTTGACTTCCTCTAAGGAGGACAGAGATGACAGACAGTTCATCCCAGTCATGATGAGTGACTTTGTGGTAAGATTAAAGTTGTGAACCAAAGAGGAGTTTGAGAGAAGCATCAGTCACTTGAGTTTTCTGAGTCTGCATTAACCCAAATCCCAATCCTCTTCTGAGAGACCAGTTTTAGGATTTTTCCTGGCTCTAGCTCTGTCAGCAGGGGTCAGGACTGGGGCCATGCCATTCCTCCTGGGAGCTGACTCCTGCTTGTTCCTAACGGAGAGCCTCACTCACCCCTACAATCCCCAGAGCTGTCCAGGTCTCAGCCCTATTCCTGGGAATAGAAGGTGGAGCCCTGAAATCTGGCTTGGCTCCCAAGGGGCCACAGGGTGAAGGTAGAGGGCTTGTTGCAGGTCAGGCCTTGGTGCAGAGCTGGCTCTGCTCAGGCAAGTGGCTTCTTGTCACAGTGGAAAGATTGGGAAACTTGGAGGCAGCAGCGCTTCCTCAAGACTTCCGCCTTCCTTTTATTCCTCTGCCTTCCCATCTGCACAGTGGGTGTGCATGCGTGTGAGGCAGCAGTCAGGGTCTGAGGCTGGCAGAACTCTGAGGGCCCTTTCAGCCTCAGTGTCCTGAACCCTACAGGTGACCCTGGCTAAAGCATGAGGTTGACTTTGTTAAGTTTGTTTTTAAACAAGTAGACTAGAGCTCATGTGTCCCACATGAGCATTTTCTTCCTTGAGGGCACTCTCTGAGGAGACTGTGTGCTTATTCCTCCCACCGTGGGATTGCTGAGGTCTTGTCTGGACCTCTCTTTTGGGAACTTTCTTAAGACTCTCAGCCTGTCCTCTGACTTGCCTCAGTGGGAATAAAACTCCATTGAGCAAGGGGGTCTGGACTTTAGGAGTGTGATGGCACTTGGAACTATAGTTGATGAATTTGTGTGTGGTGGCGGTAGTCAAGTGTGCAGGGCTGGCAGGTGAGGTGTGGCAGAATGGTCAGCAGATCCAGAAGAAGGTGGTGAGGGATGACAACCATCCTGAAGCACACACACACACAAATCTAAATTCACTCTTTCCAGGCTTGTTCACCACTAAACCTGCAAACATTGAGCACTTACTGTGTGTCCTCACTGCTCATACAGATCCCATACGTGATCCTGATTAGCTCTGTAGTACCCCCAGGAGAGGCACAACCTTCCCCACTCCCCAGATGAGGAAACCAAGGCCCTGGTGAGAGAACTGGTCTCAAAGCTAGTAAGAAGTGAAGCCAGGCTTAGTGCTCGGTTCTCTGGCTCAGCACTGCCTTCCACGATCCCTGCTGTTTCTGGTATGTGTGTTTAAAAACCAACTAAGAAACACAGGCTAAGCTTTAGCCAAGTTATAATTATTCAAAAATCCGTTGCCTCTTGAATCTTTGTAGCCTTAGAACCTTGGAGATTGAAGGAAGTGATTTGAGGACAAGTAAAATAAATACAGTACTTTTTCTTGATGTATGATAGCAAAACCAAATATGAAGATCTTGGTACCCAGCTAAAAATAGAAACCAGTTCCAGAGGGTGCTGGGTAACTTCAGAGAACCTTAGCCCTCAGGAGTCATCCATTCTAGTTGCTTCCCTGTCACTTTCCAGAATATGGTTTTCCAGGCAGTTCCTGACCAGGTAAGGGCAGCCCCTCTGAGCCGTGGATTTGTTGCCCGAGAGTGATAGATTGTAGAAGCTCTCTCTTATGTGCCACAGAAATCTGTATTTCTGGAGTGTTCCCCCTTGCTTCATCTTTTCGGACACGCTCAGGTTTGCTAATGTCTATAAACTGATCAGTCTCACATCATGAATTGCTATCATCATAGCCTTTTTCCCACCCAAAAGTCACAAACTTACTGAATGTGCTCTGAGATCAAATCATCATTTTGGAGCAGCCGCTTGTATAGAGCAGTCCTTGAATATCCGAGCATCTCCCAGGTAGCTAGGCCCCATGCTAGGTTCCAGGAATAAATACTATGAGGCACAAGACAGCCACACCCTCTCTTTACACACTGACTCACCGGTTGGTTTACCATTAACAAAAGCACTAAGGTTGTCTGCAAACCCTGCCCTGAGGCCAGATTCCCAGGAGAAGGCTTGGCTAGGGCCACTTGGGAGAAGTCACCTTCCCTGTTGTAAGGATTTCCTAACTAAACCATCCCTCAACCCTTGACCCTTTGAGAAAACAGATGTGTCCTGGGAGCAGGTGTGGGGAAGACACCCGGAGGCTCCTGCAGCCAGGGGTGGAAGGCAGCAGGTAACTGGGTGGTGGAGATGGGCATCACTCTTCTGTGGGTTGCTGGGGCTGCTGCTGAGTGAAGCCAGAAGGATGCCGGGGAACAGTAGGGGGTCCACATGCCCTGCCCTGGCACGCTTGCCCCTGCCCTGCCTCCAGCTGGGTGTCAGCTCTGTCTTTTGCCTGACCAGACCTTTGGGGAAATTCTTCACTCATGCCTTAGTCACTTCCTGTCTAGACTACATTCTCGGCTCTGGGAATTGGGGCTCAGGCAGTAGTCTGGGGCTTTTCTCACCTTGCCTGTGGCTCCTCCCACTTGCTCTCCATCTGCCCTCTCCGGGCCTGGGCCTTTTTATTTTGACTTTCTAGGCTTCTAGCAGGTTGTCTCCTCCAACCTTTCCCCTGCTAGCCTTCCTGTGGGTCTGGTGGTGACGGCAAGAATTCCCTTGATTTGGGGCCATGTTTTGCAGGAACACAGGGTTTCCTAGTGTTTCCAGCTGCTGTAGTGCCACCTTCCTCCCTTCGCTTAAGCTTTGCAGTCCCTACCCCAGACAACCAGCCCCTGGAATCCTGAGCTCTCAATCATTTCTTCCCCTCCCTTGACTTTTTTATTTGGTCCCCATTTGGACTCCTTCGTCTTCAGAGACAGGAGCAGCTGTAGGCTTATTGCTACCTCTCTGAATATTGGGAGCTTTCGGGATGGAAAGACCTGAGTAATGGTCCCTGGCCGTGGATGGGCCACTTAGCCTCTCTGAGCTGTATGTGCTTACCTGTAAGGGCACTGATGTTACGTGAGAGGACAGAAGGCAAATACTTAGCACCTGGAGGCTTCTGTTGAGCTGTGTTGAGACTGGGCTACACTGGGCAGGGGTTGGTTGGGGTCACCATTAAGATTCCTTCCAGCCAAGATTTCTGGAGCCTTTGTGTTTGGGCCCCATGGAAGATACCAGAGCTCTGATACCTGAGCTCGCGGACATCCCTGAATCATCTCTGTGGTCCAGATTTCTTACAGCCTGTGTGTGACATTCAAGATACCAGTGGGCCCTTGAATATATTTTACATATGTTTAAATTACAAAAGTAATCCTCTCATTGCCAACTAGTACAAATTCAACAGAAATGTATAAAGCAAAATCCCGTTCCCTACAGGGAGGAGAGTGGTATCTTAGATATTTAAAAATATAGAAATACAGCGATTTGTGATTTTGTTTTACAAAACTGGCATTATACTCTAGGTATTTTTGCATACTGTCCTATTTTGATTTATGACAGATTTCTATTTCTGCCCACATTATTATTTTAATAGTTGCATAACATTCTATTGTGTGGAGGTAGCACAATTTATTCATCTTCCCTCTATGGGCACTCATATTATTATTATTATTATTATTATGACAATCTTACTATGTAACCCAGGCTGGTCTAGAACTCACAGTCTTCCTACTTCAGCCTCTGGGTGCTGGGATTGCAGACATACATGACTACACCCAGCTTATTTTTCTTTTACTTACAAAAATGCCACTGAGAACATCCTTACATGCTCATATTTATACATCCCGGTAAATATTTCTGTAGGAAAGAGTCTTAGAAGTGGAGTTGTGGGATCATTTTTAACAGTTTGCTAGCTAAATGTCAGCATGCAGCTTTTTAAACTTGGCTAGCAAACCAGCACACGTTCACTGTGCTCCTCCATATGCACCAAGCCCTGCCGGCTAATTCTTCCTGATTCTTCCTGCTTCAGAAGAGATGAAGTGTCAGCTCTGGCACAGCAAACAGAAGTTCCCATAGTTAATAATAGTTGTTTTTTTTGAGACTCTAAACTTGAATTTTATTGCTTTTAACCAAAGGCTACTGCAGGATTTACAAAACAAAGAACAGTGTAAACTTTAGGGGGTAGAGGATCAAGTGGATTTTTTTTTTTTTTTTTAGCATAAAAATATGCTGGGTATGCCTGTCCTTTACCTGTAATGGCCTTTGTTTTTGGAGGGCTGGTACACAAAGTGAGGCATAAGTCTGTATTGGGATGGAAGTAACTGGCTTTTCCTTGAATCGATTTCTCATTGGTGCAGTTACCAATGATCTAACAGAGATTTGGTGACATTACCCCCCCCACCCAAGCTTCACTTCATTCTACAAAGAGTCTGTGGGAAACTTGAGAGGTTGCCAGAGTGGAGGCTGGGGACTCCGGGGCATGGCAGGGCCCCTCCAGGGAAGGTGGGCCTTCAGGGTACCAGGCTGTAGAGAGGCCTATAGAGCCTCTGCCAAGGACAGGGAGGACTGTTCTTTCTTCTTGTTTATTTTTTTTCCACTTTGAGGAGGGGGAGAGTAGAAAGCTGGAGCAAGGGGCAGGTCTCTGCCAGTGGCAGGGACACACTGGGAGCTGCTCCTGGTTCTGCCTGAGATGATATAGATGTGTTACGCAGGCCTCTGAGGGCCACTGTGGCTCCTTGTGTCCAGAGGACAGTAGAGCACCAGTTCTGTTTGCTCTTTTCCTGCATAGGTGACACTGTTTGCCTACTCAGATCTGCTGCTCTTCACCAAGGAGGATGAGCCAGGCCGCTGCAATGTCCTGAGGAACCCCCTCTATCTCCAGAGTGTGAAGCTGCAGGAAGGTAAGAAGTGCCCGATGTCCAATTTGGGAGCTCCTCTGGGTGCCTGGCTGGGGCATTTGGGTATACCTTTTGTCTGATTCTGTCCGCAGGCTGGCAGGCTTGCAGATGCTGGTGTTCCATTCTAGGCTGGCAAGCCTTCTGATATACCTTGACCTTTCCGTGAAGTTTCTATTCTAGAGACCTTCAGGGGAGGCTGTGGAGTAGGGTGGGAAGAGCTTTTACTCAGATAGACCTGTGTTCAAATCTTGGCCCTACTCTTCATTACCCATGTGACCTTGGGTAAGTCATTCAACCTCTCTCAGCCTGTTTCCTCATGTGAAAATGGGGAGGTTGCTGGGTTAAGTTAGGTCATGTATGCAACATGCGTGGCCTCAAACAGGTGCCCTATAAATGCTCCTTGTCACCTCATTTGCCATGCGTATTTGTGGACAGAGACCAGCATCCCTCCTCAGCCATCCGCACAGCCCTGGCAGAACCCTAGGAAGCTGGAGCACATGTAGCTGGGGCTGGTGAGCAGAGCATGCAGGAGTGTGCAGTGCATTTCTCATCCAAAACTTTCCATCACGTCCTGGCCCACCGGGAGGGTACAGGGATAGGAAGCCAGCTGGGAGATCTGTCCAGCGGGGTGCTTTGGCGCCTGAGGTCTCCGTTGAAAGGGGCTCGGTTTCCTCTCCCAGATTATGCAAACAACAACAGACCTGTGAGCTTGCGCGGCAGGGGCAGGGAGGAAAATATTAGTGGTGAGAGAATTCTGTTTTGGCGGGTTTTGCTCCAGGAAAACTTCCTGACTGCTTGCAAAGCCATCCTGTGTGCATGGTGCCCTGGCCTCTTTCCCTCCTTGGGAACAGGGCCATGAGGGCACCTCCACTCCTGCCTCCCCACAGGAAGCACTTACAACTTTGTCTCTGGCTCTGGCTCTCTCCTGCCCACTGACCAGGGTGGCCGCTGAGGGGAAGAGAAAGTCACCTAACCTCTCCAGGCAGGGGGCTCAGCTTCACCAGGGGCAGTGGCCTTCCAGATGGCCCCCCTGTGCCGCCCAGTGGACTCTGCCATAGGCTCTCTGCTGCCATCCCAGCCTGCCCTCCACTGCTTTCACATCCATCTTCCCCTGTGCACGTGGCACACTCACACATGTGCACTTGGCCCTGCTCCTCTGCCTCTCTCCCTACCCCAGCTCAGATAGCCCAGTCAACCCCAAAGAACCCTGTGTAGGGCAGTTTTCAGCACTATGAACCCTCCATGACAGGAAGGAAGCCCTGACTCTGCTGTGCATTTTGCAGCTTTGGGCCACAAGCCGAAGGCCCTCTCAGCTTGCCTTCTAAATGGAGGGAGGGCAAAGAAGGGCATGGGGAGGGGGTCCTAGCTGGCTGTGCTTTGGGTGGAGGCCAGAGCTCAGGGGAAGTAAGAGAAAAGCTGAGGGCAGTAGCTGGAAGTTTGGGGCCTTGGCTAGAACTTGTAACCAATATGCTGTGTGACCTCAGCTGGCCCTTTTCCTTTTCTGGGCTTCAGTTTCTCTGACTATGAAACAAGGGTTGGACCAGTGACGGGCCCTTTGTATTCCCTCCCAGCTTTGACACCCTCAGATGGAAGGTTTTTGGCTATTGGGAGAAGCTGGACAGTACCTATACTGCCCCACTTCCAGCCTCTGGGGGCCTAGACTGGGAGTTGGTTGGGTTTTCCCTTCCTATAGTCTCAAGCATCTTCCTCAGGCAGTGGCAGGCGTAGTGGGTGGTGTGGGCCTGCAGGTATTCAGGGGGCTCTCCAGATGCTGAGTTGCATATGAGCCATAGGCCTTGCACAGGTGTGACTTCCTTGGGCTGGAGACCACATCTGCCTGCAGATGCTGGGCCAGCTGGACAGGACTGAGGGTGGCCAAGGCTTCAGAAACGATGACCATGGGGATGAGAGCCTGTTGGTTTGGCATGGGAGAGGGTGTGCCTGACCTGGATTTTTTGGGCAGATGGTTTGGGGCAGATGTCAGGCCAGAGATGGTCTGGGGGCAGCCTTGGGGGCCTGGAGCTGTGAGAGTGAAGGAAATGGCTGGATGACACTGAGCACTCAAGGTGCACAGTCCAGTGCTTAGATGTCTCTCCAGGCATCCTTGGAGCTCTTGCACTCCTCCCCTGCTTCCCTGAAATGGTCCCCAGATTTACTGACTCTTCATGCCCCCTTCTGCCTCAGTCAGAATCAGAGCTGCAGGACTCAATGTTCTGAGGCTGGAGCCAGGTTTCCTGCCCCCACTTCCCCCACCAGCCCTGTGCCCCTGGAGACTTGCTGCTGCAGCAAGGACCATAGTGAGGCTTTTATGAGATGAATTTGGGGCCTCAGCTGAAGCTTCTGGTGGCAGAATGGTCTGATTAACATTGTTCATGCCATGAAACTCTAGGTTTCTTCTTTCCTACAAATCAACATGTTTGCAGAGTTCAGTTTGGGGCAAAGAAGATGGTAAACAAAGAACACATCCAGCCTCCTGGCAGACTGGGGCTGGCAAGAGCTGCTCCCTGGCAGGGGAGAATTCACCCCACATTAGGGACCAAGGACTCCCTCATGGCTTGCCTAAGAGGCCCTTAGCTCTGCTAGTCAATCATAATCCCAAGACTTAGCACAGGGCATGAACATTGTTTGTTGGATGAATGAATGAATGAATGAATGACCAAAAGGAGACCAGAAGCCCTACCTCAGCTTGGAAGCTAGGTTACCTCCTCCTAGTGACCACCTCAATCCTGCCTGCCTCCTCCTGCCCTGCATCCTCCAAGCTTCAGCAGGACTGAATGGCCATGTAATGGGAACAGGCGGAGAGCTGGCTGTAACAGTCAGGACATCTCCGGTCAGCCAAGGCCCATTGTGGCCTCTTCCTGCTTCTGTTGCCCGCTGCCTTTGCTATGCTTTGTGTCCCTGCCTCCCAGGCGGCCAGTGTCACGCCCACAGTGTGTCTTTCTGGCCTGCCCTGGTCTCTCAGACATGACCTGGAAATGCCCAGCTGACTCATGGGCTTTTCAGCCACCTTGGAGAGCCAGGTTCCTGTCTAAGAAACACAACTACTCAGGTCCCAGTTGCTAGAGTGCTTGGAGTTAGATCTTAATACACTTTCTAAGTCATCCTCAGAGCCCACCTTGGTGCTGGCCACTGGGGTGGTAGCTGTGGAAGAGCTTCTCCACCTCTGGAGCACCTAGCCTGGTGGAATGATAGATGGCTAAAAATGGCAGGGCAGAAGTGTGACACAGTGGTCAGGAGTACAGGCTTTGGAGCTAGCCATCCTGGGTTCAAGCTTCAGCTCTGCTACTTATTGTATGCCTTGTAAAAGTTGTTTTCCCTCCCTGGGCATCAGTATTTATATCTGGAGAATGGGGACAACAGCTCTCCTGGCCTGCCTCAGCCAGTGGAGAAAATTTGGTGCATAGTTGAGTTGGGATCTCAAACCAGGCATGAGAGGTTCTCAGGGAAAAATGATGGAGGGGTCAGGCCTGGACCAGGAAACCCTCTCTGGTCTCCAGCCAGCACAGCATGGTCTATCTGGAACCAGCTGCTCTCTGTTGAGTTTCAAAATGGTGGCAGCAGTAAAGAGTGCTTGAAGGAAAAGCCCAAAGTGTGCTGCCTCAATGTGTCTTCTCCCGTTCCTAATGTTCTCTCTTGCTGCAGCTGCAGCAGCTCCTCCCCGGCACCCTTGGCTCCCTTGGTTTGTTGTTCTTTTATGAGGCTCTGAATCATGCTGAGCACTGCCCCTATTCCATCCTTCTGTCACAGTGCTGCCAGCGCAAGGCTGTGATGTGGAGCAGATTCCAGGGAAGGTTTGCCATGATGCAATGAGGTCAGGGCAGACAGGGGGTGGCATCACAGCCCAGAGATGTTGTCAAGGTGGTCCATCATTTGTCCCCTGACTGCCTGAGGGTGTTTCTCCTAGCCTCGACTGGGGTCTCCCCGAGCCTCTCATCCTCTGGGCCTTCTCCTCCCTTCTAAAGCCTTCTGTCTTCTCACTGCCTACTTCCAAAACCCAGATTTCCATCATTTTCCCTTGGCACTAGGTTCTGCTTCTAGAAAGACATGGAATCATCCCAGTGCGTTTTCTTCCTTCCTCCCTCATTCTCTCCCTCCTTTCTCTTTCTTGAACCCAGGGCCTCACCAATATATTTTCTAAAGCAAAAGAAACCACCTCCTCTTGTCTCCACTCAGCAACACGGGGAATTGGCAGACGCTCTAGAATTACAACATGAGATTTCTCGAGCCCAGGCTCCTTCCCTGCCCAGCCCACCTCCAGGTGGGGAGAAGTGCAAAGGTTTATTCTAAGTCTGAAGTGGACCCCCATTTCCTTATGGTCTATTTGTTACCTGGCTCTGCCTGGCAGCCCCTGGCACTCAGGAGATTTTGGCGCAGGGAACTGCCCATGTACTTGCCTCAAGGAGGCCTGGTTTTCATCCACACCAGGCCCACTCAATCCTTTTCTTAGGAGATGACCTGACCCACAGCCTCCAGTTATTTTTCTGCCTTCTCTTTGTGACAAATTTGGGTTTGTTTGAAAATGTCTTTGCTTCAAGAATGTGTTGAAGTGTGTACTTTAAGGCCAGCATTTGAGCAGTGGGCTGTGCAGTGGGTTGGATGGAGTATAGGCTGTGGAGCCAGGGTTAAAATATGGGTTCTCCCCCTTACTACCTGGGTGGGTTGCTTCCCCCATCTGGTCCCCGTTCTCACATGAACTGTGGATATGGAGAACTCTGCCTCATGGGGCGGTGAGGGGCGAGCTGGTACATGGTAGGCACCCAGCCCTTGAGTTGATACACAGAAGGCATTTGGAGCAGCAGTTAGCATGAACTCCAAAGTTCTGTCACACTTCACGTGTTTGCTGTTACACGTGTTGTATGATTGCTTCCCTTAAAAATTTCAAACTGGACCAGATGCTTATAATCCCAGCTTCTTGGGAGGCAGAAACAGGAGGATCCTGGTTCAGGACCAGTCCAGGCAAAAGCACCAAGACCCTATCTGAAAAACAAACCGAAAGAAGCAAAAGGGCTTGGGGGTATGGCTCAAGTGGAGAATCCCGAATAGTTCAAACTCCAGAGGCACCCAAAACAAACAAACAAACAAACAAACAAACAGCTTGGTGAGGTCAATCACTTGTAGTGCAGGGAGTTTCCAACCACCCCAGACCTGTGTCAAACAAGTGCCCCACTGGAGAGTTCGACCAGGTTCCGAGGAGCAGCCACAGTGGTCAGGGAAGGTATCCTGGAGGAGGAGGCTGGGCTTCCCTCTGCAGTTGCTATCCCTTGAGCAGAGATGGTGTGTCTCTATCTCCCTGCCTTGCCCACACTGTTCATACCTCTGGAATGCCCTTTCTTCCCACCTGGAGCTCCAGCTTAGAAAGCTGTCCTCCAGGAAGCTCTCCCTAATAGCTGGGGCATCTCTCAGCCCCTTAGGCTACCACCTTAGCATCTCTGCTGGAGGAGGAGGGAACAGCTGATAGTCCCCCAAGCTCTTCCTAGCTAAGTAAATGGTTGAGCTTGAGATCCTAGAGCACAGATGAGGAGACTACAGGAAAACACACAGATGGCTTCACAGGGCTGGTCAGCCATCTTCCATGAGGGGATGGGGAAAGGAATGGGGTTAAGGACTGTCCCTCCTTAGCCTATGTTTTTTTTTTTTTTTCTTGGTGGGAAACAAGGCCCACCCAAGAACCTTGAAGAATTTCAAAATGGCTCCTTGAAGAATTTCAAAATGGCGCAGGAAATGGAGTGTTTAACCCAAGCCCAGAGGTGTGCTGCCTTCTTGGCCCTCATTGCTGGGATCATGGAGATAGGAGGTCTCTTGTTATAAAGACAGCTCCCTGTACCTGGTTGTTTGATGCCAGAGGGGGATCCTGGCTGCCTGTCCTGCGGATGTGGCTTCAGGATTCCTCCAGTCTAACCTGAGGGCAGATGTTCCAGCTGTGCCTCATCCTGGTTAGTGAGATAGTGGGCTCTGCTCCACAGACTACCCTGTTCCCTGTCCCTGCGTCTTCCTCTCTCTTGTTCCAAGAAGCACCAAACAGCCTTCTGGGTGAGACCTCTGCTAGGCCCAGCAGAATGCTAGACTCTAGCCAATTCTAACGCAAGTCTTCTTTTGTTCTCTTGAAGGTTCTTCAGAAGACTTGAAATTCTGTGTGCTGTATTTAGCAGAGGTAAGTCCCTCTCTCTGAACTGAAGGACAGAGACCAGTGCTTGAGGGAAGATATGGGGCCAAGTCCCAAACCAGAATTTTGACACCCACCTCCATGCAGCCCCTCCAGTGGTGCAGGGGATGGCCAGAAGGGCCACTTGCTGCTCTGTAGATTGTGGTTGTTCTGCCCACACTCTGTTACCTCTGTGTGAAAGAGCAGTGGTTAAGACAGCGCTTCTTATAGCCTCCGAAGTTCCCTGCTCAGGACCTCAAGAGCCCCAGGATCTGCAGGACTTGTAACGAGGGTGCAGCTGACAGCTGTGCATCTCCCTGTTTATTTATTTAGCATCCTTCCCTCTAGAGATTGCCCTGACTCCCATGCTGGCCTCCTTTATCCTCTTTTTCCAGGAAGTACTACCCACCACCCCTCCTACAGGGTCTTGTCAGTGTTTGAAAGTCCCAAAGATAATTATACCTTTACCTTGGCCAGACAGCCTAGGCTAAAGCAAACATCTGGAGTCTGCCTAGAATGATGCCTGCTCGAGTGATTGATATTCTTGGTTATCTCAGTCTGGCCGGAAGCTCAGATGGCCTTTGGGGTGCAAAATCAGGCAAGCAACCCCTTGCTTGATTATCGTTTGGTAGATAAAATATTCAACCAGGAATTGGTGATGAAAAATTTGAGAACCACTGAGCTGTATGAATTCTTTTCATTTTTCAGTGAATTTTCTATTCCCAACCTTGGGTCTACTAATGTGTGCGCCGGGCAGTGTCTGTGACCACCCCTGCCCTCTGCCTCTGCTGAGAATCTGTCTACACTGGTCATACCTGAGGGTGGGGAATGGTCTATAAGGTTGACCAAGAGGAGCACAGCCTTCTGAGAAGAAATTTGTGCCCATGAGTGATTGGAAATCATTCTTTCAGTTCCTGACTAGGATAAGAGGAGCAAAGCCTCAGGGGAGCCTTTGGGCCAACCCCGGGGAGAGGAGGCAGTTGCTGAGATGCTCCCGTCGGGAGCGGGGACAGAGCTCCAGAGAGGTAGTGGACATTGTCAGAACTGAGCTGGGACTTGATTGCCTAGAATGCAGACCTGAGGACATTGGATGTCCTGCTCTGTGTCGGGCCACATCTCTACTGGGTCAAAGGCAGTGCCTGCTGAAATCCCTTCAGAACTGGTGGGTGTCTGACTCCACAGAGCCATGCCAGCAGCTGGGAGAAGCCATGGGCTGGACCGGGCTCATCCAGCAACCCCTGGTGCCGTTACCCAGGACCCCCATTCTCTCTGGCAGTTCCTGTAGTGAGGCTCCAGGTTCTTTAACGCCAAGATAGCGTCCTTCCTGGCTGGGTGTATCTTTCTGAGAGAAAAATGGAGCACTTCTGCTCCATTGGTTCTGTGGCCTACTGGCCCTCCAAAGATTTGATGAAGGGTTATTGATTTGGGGCCTTTTATTTCAGTAAAGTGCCAGGTGATCTGACCCCGAGGGGCTGGGAGATGGAAGCTCACAGGCAGCTAGAAGCCTCTTTTCCTTTAATGGGCTGCTATTTATGAGAGGGAAGCTGTAATGCAGGGAAGACAAGCTGCCTGCTTGCTCTTAGCCAGGGACATTACTGACACAGGTGGCTTTGGTCTCATGGAGTGCCCCAATCTCATATCTTAGTTGGCACTTTTACCAGTTGGTTTCTCTTCATTGCTTGAGATGCAAGTGGCACCCTGAGAAGACACCAGGGGAAGAGTCAGGTTTGGAGAGGGGCTTCCACCTTGCTTTGAGAAAGCTCAGACTGCCAGGGTGGCAGCAGCTGTGATTGTTCCCCTGCTGCCAGGCCCTGGGTAGGGTTGCCCTGAGAAGTCCTTGCCTTTGGGTCCTGAGGCCCCTGGCCAGGTGCCCCTCAGTTCCTGCAAGTCCAGAAATGCTGCCCAGAAATGGTGTGAGAACACGGGGGCATTAGGTCAGGGGCCATTCGCTCTCTTGCTTAGAATCTGAGGTTGGCTCTGTTAGTTTAGGAGTCTGGGCTTTGAAGTTAGGAGGACCTGGATTTGAATCTTGGCTCTGTCACTTGCTGAGTGATTTGGAATAGGTCACACACTCCTCTCTGCCACCGGGTGATGAGACCTACCTTGCAGGGTTGTAAGAATGACTGAGATTCAATGAGACACTGAAGCTAAAGCACTTAGCACAGGGCCTGACTCACAGAGTGCCCAGTGAGCGATAGCTGCTCTCATTGTCAGCTTTACAGCAGGTGGAAGAGCTTTTGTGTTCATTAGGTATCTCCATTAGAGATCTCACAAATGATTTATTGACCTTTTAAAGTAGGGGGAACATCTTACCTTCTTTGTAGTGCTTGTACACATTCACACAGATATGCAAGATCACAGGTCTTAGAGGAGGCAGAGACAAGCTCTGAATCTCCTTACGCCTTAACCTCTCTGAGCCTTCGTTTTCTCATCTGCAGCCTGGTAACAGCTGTGCCTTTCCTGCCTGCATGCCTCACAGGGTCATCGGGAGAATTGAATTAAATGAGAGCAGGCTTGTCATGGCAAATGAACTAACTTCAGTCACAGCTGAAGAGGTTTTGGTTTTTACAAAGATAAAATTAATTCAGGAGCAAGGAGGTTAGGCAAATGGGGGATTTGAAGAGCCCAAGATGAGCTGGGAGACTGGTTGGATTTGAGGGTGACTATGTTTAAGTGCAGGGCTCTGAGCCCAGTGTTGTCAGGTCTTGTGTAGCTGAGAGGCCTGTGCTTGGTTGACCAGCCAGCAGTCAGAAGGCACTGCCGTCTGGGTGGCTTACAGCCTTGACCCCGGAGCCTGGTATTGAGGACACAGTGCAAGTCAGCATTGAAACTAGCAAGTTGGATCACTTGGAGCACACACTGGTTAGAGAGATGGTTCATAGGTGGGGACAGCTAGTTTCCCAGATTTAGGGAGGATGGAAATTCAACTCCCCTGAAGAGAGCTGGTTCAGCAGGCCCTCTAACCAGGCTAGTCTCCAAAGCTCAGGCTCCCAAAAAAATGTTTGCCCATCCAAGACCACCAACACCCAGCCCAAGACAAGCCTGGGTTTAGATTCCTGGTGCCTAGGAAGCCTCTGAGCTAGGAAACATTCTAGAACCTTTCAGTTTTAAGCCCTCAAAGTCAGAAATTCAGTCCTCCACTCTGCTGCTGGGGCAGGAAATTGTGGTCACTGTCCCGGTGAGAAACCAGGCTTTCCAAAGAAGATTCCAGAGAAGGCTCTGTGCTCAGTCCTTGGGTTGCAGTGTATTATTGAACATCATTTAATTATTACAAACCATTCGGTGGCCATCAATGGCCTGGTCGAAAACCAGGCTTTCCTAAGGGGTGGTGCTTGGTCTGGGGTGGGGCTCAAGTGGGAGAGCCCTTCCTAAGGGGTGGTTCTTGAGAGTGTCAGTAAACTAGAATGGTCCCAGCTGTTCTTTTGCAAGGTTGTCAGAAGAAATATCAAGGTGAAGTGCTTAGCCGGGTGGGGGCCATGCAGTGGGAGGGGCTGTGTCAGGATTAGGGATAGGTAGCCCTGTCTCTGTGAGAGGTTCTCCCAGCTTGCAGAGGCTGTCTTGAATTTTTTTTTTTTTTTTTTTTTTACGGAGAAGGCTGCTATGCTGGAGCAATAAACACTTGTACAAAAAGCTGGCAGTGAACTTCACAGTTGCTCAGAGACCCCTCTGGCCTACATGCAGTTTCTTCTGATGGCTTGGCTCTCTGGTTGCCTCCAGGCCCATCTGCAGTAGAGAGCCATCCTGTCAGTCAGGAATGTGGCAGCCTGACTAGGTGGTGAGGAGACCTCCCAGGTTTTGGAGATGAAATCCCAAGTGGTTCCCCTTGGCTTGGAGTCTTTCCTCTGTGGTTTATTGGCCATGAGACTTAGGGAAGCCTTAACCTTGATATTCCCATTCCATGCCAATCAGGCATGGTGGGTTATGCCTGTAATCCCAGCACCCAGGAGGTAGAGGCATGAGGATCTTGAGTGAGAAAAACTAAGGACTGGGGATGTAGCTCAATGATAGAAAACTTGCCTAACATGCACAAGACCCTAGAATCCTTTTTTTAAAAAAAACGAAAACAGCTAGGCACTGCAATCCTAGGGTCCTAGCTACTCAGGAGGCAGAAATCGGGAGGATCATTTGAAGCCAGCCCGGGCAAATAGTTCATAAGACCCTATCTTGAAAAACCCTTCACAAAAATAGGGCTGGAGGAGTGGCTCAAGGTGAAGGCTCAGAGTTCAAACTGCAGTACCACAAAAGCAAAACGAAACAAAAAACAAAACTGAGCTGCTTTTCATGGAATTGACAAGATCAAAATGAGACCATGGATGGGAAAGTGCTTCTTAAAATTGATAATTATATGAAAAGAATTATTATTACAGTAGAAACTCCTGTTTCAGAATAGAAGGAGGTTGAAGCTGCCAGAGACAAAGGAATTTGCAGAAGCCCTTGTGCTGGCGAGAGCAGGGCTAGGAGGCTCAGGCCATCTTTGTGGAGTGATGGCCTTTCCAGTAGTCCTTCCTCAAAGGGAACACCCTGAGACAGGATGCAGAGGTCCCTCTGGTTGACACCGGCACCAGAGGAATCTTGGGGCCTTTTTCTGGCATGCCCTGCCCTGTGCCCTGCACTGGGTAGGAAGGTTCTGGGAAGTGGCGGCACCTGTTGACAAGTGAGTCATAGGATTGCTTCTGCTCACCATACCCAGCTCTGTGGGGCCTGAGGGCAGCTTTCTTTCCCCCCTCATGCTTTTAGGAAGATCAGCTTCTGAGTATTTTTTCAGCAAGAGATGGCTGGCTGGCTGGCACCCTGGGGATACAGCATGGGAGGTCGCCCCACCCTGAGGGCTGAGTTGGATGCAGGGTAGAAAAAGTCTTCATATGCTAGTACATAATTCCAGTAACCCTCCGCAACACAGGACCTTTGCATCTCTGTCTCTTCTGCACAGAACAGCTTCTCCTGAGCACTTTCCTTGCTGGCTCCTTCCCTTCTTATCTATCATCCAGGCATCTTTTAGGCCGTAGCTCAAGTGTCAGCTCTTCTCAGAGGCCTTCTCTGACTACCTCAAGTTCAAGTACGACCTTTCCTCTTAGGACCATTGTGACATTTTCACAATTTGTCTCTGCCTGAGCCCAACGGCAAGGACCTGGTCTGATTTACCTCTTTATCTCCAGTACCTAAGACAGTCTAAGGCACCTAATACATGCTCTACTAGTCCAAGCCAGCGCTGGTGGCTCACGACTGTGATCCTAGCTGCTCAGGAGGCAGAGATCAGGAGGACCGTGGTTCGAAGCCAGCCCAGGGAAATAGTTCCACGAGACCCTATCTCAAAGAAAAACCCATCACAGAAAAGGGTTGGCGGAGTGGCTCAAGGTGTAGGCCCTGAGTTCAAACACCAGTACCACAAAACACACACACAAACACACACACACACACACACACACACACACACACACACGTTACTAGCCCATGAATTACTGAATAGTAACAACAGCTACTGTGTGCTAAGATCTGAGCTTGTCTTCGCTGTTTGCCTCCCCATGGTTCTGGGATACAGATGACTTGTCATTATCAGCCACATTTTATGGAAAGCTCTGACTTTCCTAAGGTTGACACCGAGGAAGTGGAATTCAAAGTGGACCGTCCAACTGCAAAATGAGAAAAGACTGACTACAAACATGATCTTTTACTTTGTTCCAAGTCCCTGGCTCTTAGCTCCCTGGCTGAGTGCATCTAATCGCAGCCCTGCAGGGTTAGAATCCACTTCCAGCAGAGGCAGAAAGAGCTCCATATCCTCTGATCTGAGTGTGCCTGGTGGTGGGTGGAACCCTGGGCTCCCGGCCCCACCTGCCCCTTGCATGTCCTGATTGCTTCAGGGGCCAAGTCTGGTGCTGTGTCAAAGCTGGCCTGGGTTTGACCTCATCCCGGAAGTTCCTCTTGGCAGCCAGAGCTTACCGAGGCTAGTACTTGCTATGCACTGCCCTAGGCCCAGATGAACAGGACCTTCTAGAAGTTCATAGTCTAGTTGGTGGGACTTAAATGACAGTTGTACCACTGTTTCTGCTCCCAGTGAGATGGAACAGTCATGGGTGAGGCCCAGCTCATGTGCAAGGCAGTGGTGGGGCTGCAGAAGGGCACGTGACTGACTATCTAGCACTTTCCAAAGGGACTCATGTCGCTGTTTGGGTTCTGTTGGTATGTCCCTCCAACTTACCTAACCACTTTGTGATCAGAGGGGTGTGCCATGTGGGAGAAGGAGTCTGTGAGTCAGAGTGGCAGGTCCTGGTTCCACAGAGCCTCAGCTTTGGCCTCTGGGTTCCCCACAAAGCTGCTGCTTTGTTTTACCTGCCCGGGGGTGACCTTTTCCTCTGTCCTACAGCTCTCCACAGGCTTCCACTGTGTTGGAATCCACTACCTTTCTACCCTCCCCCAGTCTGTGGGTCCCTAGCCCCACTTCCTTGCCTCTCCGGCTGCCTTGATGTCACTGGAGACTAGTGTACATTTGTGGCTGTTAGCGGCCGCTCCCCCTCCTTCTGCAGCCTCGCCCTCTGGAGTTCAGGGATGGGCTGGGGCTGGGAGCCCCTCAAGCCAGGGAGCAGCCCTGACCGTCCATCCCTTTCTCTGTCTTCCCTGACGTCAGAAGGCAGAGTGCTTATTCACTTTGGAGGCGCACTCACAGGAGCAGAAGAAGAGAGTGTGCTGGTGCCTGTCGGAGAACATCGCGAAGCAGCAACCGCTGGCCGCCTCGCCCCTGGAGAGGAAGGTAAGGGCCTTGCCAGCGGCTGCAGCCCTGGCTGCCTCGCTTCCCCTCAGACAGCCTGGCCCTCAAGCCTACGAATTGAGCTTAGCCCTTGGATCTGGGCAGCAAGCTTGGCACGGGGCCTGTGCTTGAATGTCTCTCCCTCGGGCTTTTCCATGGGTCTACTGAGTGGGTTTGACATTGCCCAGGGAGAGCAAGCGACAGAGTCAAATTGAGCATGACCCATCAGTTCTCAGCTCTGCTCTTTGGTTTCTCTATGGCAAGATTTAATTTGGCCTGGTTTCCCTGCTGTTGCCTGGCAGGTGGCTCCCTCTACCACTGGGTAGGCTGTGCCCTTGGGCAGCACACTGGTGTTTAACACTGGTCCAAGGCAGACATAACTGAGGAGATGTTTGTGGCAGAACCTGTCATAGTTCGATGTAGACCAGAGCCAAGTGGAGCTGAATTTGGACCGCTGGGGGCTGGGAACTGGCCAGCTGGGGCATCAGGAAGATAGAGATGGCCAGTGGAGCTGATCTTGGCTGTGCACAGCTCTGTGCCTAGGGAGGGGGATGGCATGGGAGCTGGACCACAGCCTTCTCTTTTGACACCCCGATGCCATCCACAAAGTAGTTATATGCCTCCATTTGTGAGTCACTAAGGTCTCTTTTCTTGGTAAGAGTGCTAGCCATTTGGACTTGGTGTGGATGGCTGCAAAAGTTTCTGAGGTGGCCGTTGTGTCAGATCTGGAGGAAGAATGAGAGGGGGCTGCAGCTGGTGAACTCACTGGTTTTGTTGTTTCTCAGTGTGTTTAGGCCACCATGCCTCGTGTCTCAGGCTTATGAGTGGCTAGTGAGCAAGAGTTGGGAAGATGCGACTGGCAGCCTCTCCTGCCAGAGATGGACAGCAACTCCCCAGCTTTTGGTGGAGGGAGTGAGAATCTGAGAATCACCTCATTCTACACTTTGAAAATTATCTTGTTTTACTCAGGCCATGGGCAATAATGAGGGAAGACAGTGAGACTCCTGAGTCAAACTCTACTGCCGGCTGGCAGTATGACCTTGGTCAAGTCACCCTACTGTTTTTACTTTGATGTCACCATCAGTAATCTGGGGACAATAGTTCCTCTCCCAAAAGGCTGTTCTGAGGATTTAAGGGGAGAGTGCGTATACAGTTCATAGTGCAATGCCTCCTATGCAGTAGGTGTTCACCCAACCAAAGCTGTGGGGAGTGCCCTGCCCCCCAGCCCCACCCTAGGCAGCACTGGCGGGTCCCTACAGTCAAGCTCCTCTGAAACCATGGGTACAAGCTGCCTTGCCCAATGGATATGGGGTTGACGCATCACTGGGGCAGGCCCTAGGACACAGAATGTCTTAATGTGCCCTGCATTCTTTTCTGTGGGCTTAGTTCCTCTGTTCTGGCAGAAAGAATTCTTTGTTCCTTGACTTCAGAGTTTGCTGGCTCTGGAGTATGTCAGCCACAGCTTCTCCATGCTTGGAGACGCTGTCCATTATGGGCTTGGGAGGGCCTGAAGACAGCTGTATCTGAGACGGGCTTGGCTGGGTGACCCTGGAAGGGCTCCAGGGCCCCAGCAAGACACATGTGCATCCTGAGCAGGCAACAGTCTGGATACCTTGTCACAGCAACTCTCTAAATGTGCAGTTAGTGGAGCAGCTATGTGCAGGGCAGGAGGACGCATAGGAGGTCCTGGCCACTAGGACAGCCTCAGAACTGCCTTGTGGGTCTGAGACCCAGGCCCTGCACAGACTCACATACTCGGTTGGCCCACCCTCCTGGTGAGGCAGTTCCAGAACAGCGTGGCTTTGATGAGGGAGGCCCCTGGGGAGTCTTGCTCAGCCCTCTTCATCCCTACCTCTACCACACACTTAAGGAGTCTTAGCCACTCATTCTTTCTAATCACTCACTGATGCTTTCTGAGAGAAGTTCCTCTAACTACAATTCTCTCCAGCCCTTTCTCAGTCCAGGACATTAGTGCCATTAATGACGATGCTCATCTACCTGTACTCAGCCTCCTTCCCCAGGGATAGTCCACAGCCTCAACACCATGGACACTGTCCTGAGGGCTTAGAGACCAGCTCTTGCTTTTTAAGCAGAAGTACCTGCTGACTGATACCCACGTCCCACCTGAACAGCACACTATTGCACCTCCTGTTCTCTCTGTGGAAACCACTGCCTAAGCACTTGCCCCACTTGAAGGCCTCTGCAGGGACAGGGGCCTCATAGGCGACCCCCTCCTTCCCCTGCTCCTTTCCTCAGTGTTGCTGACCCTTAGGCTGGGTGATCCTTCAACCGTCTCAAGGATGGTGATACTTTTCTCAAATTCACATACCATGATAGATGCACTTTGCATCTATCGTGAAAATGACACGAATGCTTATTGGGAAGATGAAGGGGCTGGAGGAAGATGGACTCAAAGGATAGCAGAGAGGCCCATGTGTTATACTTAGTATGTAACCTTTGGCAGCCACTTTCTGTGTGACCTAAGGATCCCATCTGCACGTGAGCACTTGGTCAGGTGGCTCTTTTGGCTTTTCAAGCTTTGTGATGGTCTTGATAGCTGAGGGCCCAGGACTATCCATCTCCCTCAGGGAACTGTACCCTGAAGATTCCAATTACTCACTCCCCATGACATCTGCTGCCCTGGCCAGGCCTGTTCTCCCCTTGAGAACACTGGCACTCTGGGCTGTGTCTAAGTTTCTTTGGTTTGTGGCCTGGCGGTGCGGGGTCCCAGCATAGTCAGGATGGACCCAGTAGTCATTTGGCACCCCTTCTTGGCAGCTCGTTGCCTTTCTTGAGCTCACTCTTTGCTGACCACTGAATGTGGGGGTACCTGGAGGGGGTTCTGGGTGGGACTGAAGTCTCTCTCTCTTTTTCTTTTTTTTTTTTTTTAAGCAATAAATAACCCACCTCCTCTCCCATCCCAGCTTCCTTCTGCTTGGAACTCTGCCCCTCTTGCCTCATTACCTGCCCCTGGAGGGTATTCACCTTCTGTCTGGATAACAGCCCAAGCTCCCTGCGCTAAATGTCCAGCACAGCTGTGATGCTTCTCATTAGATCCGCTCAGACCTGGTCCTCCTGTGGCCAGGGATGCTCTAGGCTGGTGGAGAGAGACAGGTTTATGTTATTTTGATTATTTAATCAAATATACATAATAAATGTGCCCAACACTTCTTTAGGTTCTTTGGGGTCACAGAGATGAATGAGACCTGGTCCTTGTCCTTAGGGACTTCTCCTTCTAGTTGGAGAGAGGTACAGAGGGGACTGGGGTGATGATCCAAGCATTACAGGCCATGCCTGCAGGTCTAAGAGTGGTCCAGGGGGTCCTGGCTGGACTCCGGGAGCTTTGCAGCACAGTAGGCTTGTCCCAGTCTTCAGAGGGCTGAAGGTAAGAAGTGGAGGCAGTACAGTGTGGACTGGCCTGAGATAAACTGGCCTTGTACTCAGGCAGGCCCTGGTCTCCACAGGCTCTTTGGTGGGAACACACAAACAAATCTGTCATACTCTTTCCTTGGGAGATCACAGTCTAGAGGTGGAGACAGATGTGGCAACAGATAGTTCAAATAACCCAGTAGTGATGTGACCTCCAGCGAGCTACCTAGCCTGTCTGAGACAAGTGTTTCATCAGCAAAGTGGGTGGATTAGCAGGGTTCTTATGAGGATTAAACTGGCAATGCACTTGGCAAGGGGATGCACAAGAAGACCTCTTCGAACTGCCTGCTGTCATCCTCCTCATTATCTGTAAGTGATGTCTGGGTAGGAAGATTCATCGGGTATTTTTTGACATTGATGCTGGTGCTCTGAGCTTGTTTGACAACTGCTCCCTGCCATTTCCTGGTAGCCACCTGCTGGATTCTGGGGCCCAGGCAGGGAAACTGAGGTCTCTGCTCTGGCTGTAAGACTTTCCGATGTGTGTGCCACCCTGTCCTCTCCTCTGGGACAGGTAGAAATGGGCCTCGGACTGTCTGAATACCTTAGAAAGGAATGGAGACAGGTCATGGAGTCAGGCAACCCAGCTGGAGTAGACAGCAAGCTAATTCCAGTTCTGTCTGGTTCCACAGAAACTCCACCCTTACAGCTCTCTCCAGCAGGAGATGGGGCCAGTCAACTCCACCAATGTTACCCAGGAGAGAAGCGTTTCCTCATCAGGACAGACTCTGATTGGCTGAGCAAACCCAAGGGCAGGACTCTGCTTCTGGCAACTTAACCCTTTCTGGGGAATCCCCCACCACACAGTAACCTCACCTCAACTGGACCCAAAACGGAGGACCAAGATGGTGGGCCTCGGGTGGCCTGAAGGGAGTGGCCTGAGGGTGTGTGACTGGCAGCGGGAGGAGCAGTGGTGTGAGAGGTCCATGGGCACGTGCAGACTGGCAGTAGACAGTCCCTAATGGAGAAGACTCAGAAGCTTGCTCCCTCTCTGGAAACGGAGGCATCTGGACCCCTGCCGGGGGAAGATGGGGGCAGCGAGAGAGGTTGGGAGAGGTCGCTCAGATGGAGAACATTGCTATGGAGCTGCCACTACCTGAAGACATCGCCACCCACTCATTTTCATCTGGACACATTCCCTCGTTCATGTAGTGGATATTGGGGGCATCTCCTTTGTTCCAGGCTCCGTGCTAGTAGCTAAGGACACTGTGGAGAACCAGATGGATAGCTTCTGCCCTTATCGGGATTCTAGTCCTAGTAGGGAGTGAGCAGTAAATAAATAAATCAGCATCAACACCCAGGTGGCCACACATGGGGAGAGTCTTTGCAGGGACATCATAGATGCCTTCAGATGGCCTTGAGTGTAGATCACTGTGTGTGGGGTGTGGTAGGGGAAGGACATAGCCTATAAACTGAGATCTGTGGGCAGGACAAGAGCTAGTTATCCTCTCTGTCAGGAGAGAGAGGTCCAGGTAGACAGAACAGAACATAGACGGTTTCCGAGGTGGGAAGGAGCTTGGTGTATTGGAGTTGCAGAGAGAGATCAGCATGCCACAGCTCAGTGGGAAAGAAGATGGGAGTGAGGGCCACTTTGTACAGGTTGTAGACTGATTTATTGATTCCATTCTAGATACAGTGGGGGTCATGGAAGGGTTTTGAGGAAGGGAGTCTCAAAGTCTCAAGTACATTTCTACAAGATCACTTTGCAGCTGGGAGGGTCCCAAGGGGCTGTGACACTAGTTAGGAGTTCCCTTCAGTCCTGCAGGTGAGGGCCAATGGTGGCTTGTCTTAGAGTAGTGGGGACATGAATGCCAGACTGTGGGATGAGAAGAGATGATATCCCCACTCCCATTGTGTACTACCTTGCCAAGGGGCAGTGATGAGAGCCCAGCCCACTCACCCCACTGCCTTCTGCAGCCCCAGCTGGAGCTCAGCATTAAGCAGTCCTCACATGCTTTTCTAACCACCAAAATCTAGACGAAGGGAAGTGAAAAGCCACAGGTCTGGCTCACATGCAAAAGGGCATCTGTGAGACCAGGTAAGAAGAGGGGTCAGAGAGGAGGAGCTGGAGAGATGATGAGGCCAGAGAACTCCCCTGACCTTGAACACTGTTGTTATGTAAGACCTCAGTGTCTTTAGGGAAGGTTCTTGCGAACCTTGCGAGTTTGCTCAGCTGCTGGGGCTATCTGAACCGCAAAATGGTGGCCTATAGAAGAAAGTATGTCCTTAGCTTCCTTGTCTCCCTCTCCCAGCATAGGAAAGATCAGCCATATTAAGTCAGCAGTCTAATGAGGACAGGATGGATCTGCCGGTGATCAGGCCCATGTCCCTGTTCAGCAGGGACACACACGTTGCCTGTCCTGGGACAAGTGATACACAGCGTCGCCGCCATCCAGGGCCAGTGCTGGGCCCGCGGGGCAAATCTGAGCAGCTGAGCAACTGGGCCTGTGCAGACAGCAAGCTGCACTTTGATTTCATTTGATTCCCTTACACAATGACATTAATGGCAGCGTGAAGCACAGGAGAACCATCTGCCTGGGAAGGCAGCAAGCCCATCTCTCCTGGGCCTGCGGCCGACCTCTGTCCAACAGACAGGCTCAAGAGACAGCAGACAAGAAATGGAGAATCTGAATGTAGCACCCAGTCCTGGGGATGGGACTTGCCTCCCAGCTTGTGACATGCTGCTGAGTGGAACAGGCACTCCTGTCAAGGTCCCAGGCTCGCTAGCTGGGGGGAAGTGGACATGCGTTCCTGGTGGGCCCTGGGCTGGCCTGCTCAGCGACTGTGGTGAGCCACAGCGCCATTGCTGTTCTGCTTTGTGAATCGATGCAACAATTAATTTGGCTCCATGGGCTCGAGAAGATGAAATATGACCCGTGGCCACTGCTCTTCAGCATCCCAGTCCATTCCAGTTGTTCGAGATGATGAACAAGCTACCGAAAATTGTATCTGAGAGTTACAATCACGGGAAATGTGGCCAGGCCCCCCACTGCATGAGTCACACAATGCCTCTTTCCTGATGGGCCGATTGTCTCGGGTTGGTGTCTCGGGGCCCAGGAGCTGGGAGAAGTGGAGCACAACCATTTATTGTTGAAAAGGCCATCTGTGCAATTTGAATACAAAATGACCCTTTTAGTTCCTCACACACCCTCTGCTTCTATTCTCTTGTTTTCTTTAGCTCTGAGTCTTTTGAAAGTCTCGTCTTTCCTATAAGCTTTCCTGCCTGAGTCTTTTGTCCCTTTCTGAGTTGGGACACATGGACCTTTTGGAAATAATGACACTTACCTGTGTATGTCTTATTTTAAAAAGTTCTGTATTTTATTTTTTTTCCTCTAAGTTTTGCCACCAAAGCCCTCGTATGGGCCGAGTGTGGTGGCCTGTGGTGCCAGCTACTTTGGAGGCTGATGACCATTTGAGGCCAGCCTGGGCAGTTAGTGCAAGACCTTATCTGAAAAGCAAACTAGAAACAAAAGGATTGGGGCTGTGGCTCAAGTGGTGGAGCACTGCCTACCAAGCACGAGGCCCTGAGTTCAGTCAGTGACACACTCACGCTCAAAATCCCTCATCTAAGAGGAGGTGCAGGCAGGCAATTTCCTCTACTGTGAGAGCCCTCCCCCAGTGAGCACAGGCTTTGGAGATAGCAGAGGGGTCTCCAGGCATGATCACCTCTAACCCTCCTGATAACCTCATTTTCTGGATGATAAAGAGACCAAAGCTCCAAAAAGTTAAATGATTTCTCCAGGGTCACATAGCTGATGAGGGGCCAAACTAGTCCTCCAGCTTAAGGCTGCCCGCTGAATCCATTGCTCTTTCTAGATACAAAGGTTGGCCTGAGGGACAGAAGGAAGAGCAGTCATTTATCTTCTCCAGGGCGAGGGGGAGGCAGGTGCCAGTGTGTCAGAGTTGTGGCCCATCTAGCTGTGAAGGGGTGTGTTTAGGACAAGTAAAATGAGATGCCTGTTCTCTACTTGGTGGAAAATTAGTTCTCCTATGGGGTGGTCCAGGCAGAGATCAGTCTCTTTAAAGTCAAAAAACAGTCTGATAAGAAAGGCAAGACTGAGCGCCTGAGATGGCCCTCAGGGGGTACTGGCTGTGCACTCCCCCCGCCCTCCCTCTTTGAATCTGGCAGTCAAGGAGATCAGCAGACACAATCTTGGGGAATTCTGCAGCCATGGAATGTGGCCAAAGGCAAAAAGGGACAGCTTCCAGCCCAGGCCTGCTCGTCTGAGCATCCATACTGGAAGGAAGCTTCAGTTTGAGCCCACCTGAGGGTGGGAGAGGGCCTGTCCCCACTGACTCCCTCCACCAGGATTTGTGCCCAGATTTTACCAATTAGCTGCCTAAGTAACTGGGAATCAAATGAATTGGATTTCAGTGCCTCCCACCCCAAGCGAGTGTTCTTTCCTCCAGAAAGCTTAGCTGTTTTCCAGGCATCCTCCAGATCTCCTGCCCCCTACCTTGCTGCTCGTCTGGTTGGGGCAGCCTGCCTTCAGCCATCTTGCTTTTCTTTTTTAACTTTTAAGGAACAGAACAACCTCTCTGTCCTGTCTTGTCTTCTTTCCCTAAGCCTGTTTCTGAAGAAGGTTGCCTTCTACCCTCCCAACCATCCTCAGATCCTTGGTTTAAGGAAGAATGGTAACAGTAGGTAATCTGACCAGCACTCATACTATGAGCCAGGCACGGTGCCCAGCTTTTGACGCACGTTGTCTTTTTTTAATCCTCACCACCGCCTTATGTGGTTTGTGATCCTGTTATACATCGCCTCCCATTGTGCCCTGTTTGTAGATGAAGATGCTGTGTATTGGAGAAGTTAACAAACTTGCCCAAGGTCATGCAGCTGGTGTGGGCTCTGGGCAGCCACCTCCAGGACACCTACTTTCAATTATTCTGTTTTACTGTTTTCCTATAACCACAGACCTTCCCAGCAGGAACGCTGGACAGTCACATTACTGTTTAAAGGCCACTGTAGGAGGCCTGGGCTTCAGAGAGCCTGTGTGGCTCTCTGGGAAGTCCTGGCTGCATGGCTGCTTTGCCCCTGAAGCCTGGCCATGTGGTGCTATTTCCCCTTCTCCAAAGTCCCTGTGACCATTCAGGGACACTGCCAATGCTGCCTGCCCATCTCTGCTGACCCTGCCTGATGCATCTTCAAGACTTGGCACCTCCTCTGAAACACCTTTTTCAGAAATACAACTGAAGTCATTGCTTCCCCTATGCTTTCTAGAGGATTCTGTTTATCCTTCGTATGATGTGTCAGGCAGATCAGTCTCACACAAGCCTGCCAGCAACTTGGGAACAAGTGGAGGCCGTGTTTTATTTGTCTTTCATTTTGTTTTCTGGCCCATAGTAGATTTCAGTAGATGATGTAGAATTGAATTGGGCTGCACAGTTCAACAACCCCTTACCTTCCACCTTCTATTCTAGGATCTAGATGAGGAAATAGGGTCAAAAAAGGGGAGGTGACCTGACCAGGGTCATGGGCAGTTAGCGTCAAAGCCAGAACTAGAACGCAGGTCAATTGACTGTTTTAGGCTCAGAGTTTTCTCTGTTGCCCCACAGCTCTGCAGACAGGAGAGCAACCCCATTTCCCTGCTTGGTTTATGAAGCAATCTGGCCAGGTTTGCATCAGGGTCATGGTAGCACCATATTCCTATATGGACCCAGACATCCCCAGAGGAAAGAAAACTTTAGAAGAACTGCTATGGTTCTCTTTCATGGGTTTGGGGGTTTCCTCTCACTGACCTTTGGCTCAGAGAAAAACCAGAGTGGCATTCTGAAATTTGAATACTGACTTGGCTGATACTTGCTATGTGACCTTGGGCAAATTACTTCACATACCTATTTCCTTACCAAGAAAAACGAGGGTGTTGAATTTAGATGCTCTCCATGAGCTGTCAGATCCAACTATTAGGATATAACAATAAGGGTCAGGATAGAGTAGCTGCTCCCCTGAGACCCGGATCTAGAGCAAGGTCTTCAACATGGTCACCAAACCCAAGTGACAGACACACACCCAGCCCCTTGAGACAATTTTGTGCGCTATTTCAGAGGAGAGGAAGGGGAGGGTTTGGAGCCTTGGTACTCTGAGAACAGACTAAAGGAAGAGAGAAGACAGGCATTTAGTCTTCATATTGAAATAGGAATGGGTGCATGCACTATTGTACCTGGTTAATATCTGTCATGCACTGATAACACATCATCTAGCTATCAGAAGGGTCTTCATCCCAGACACTCACGTTATAAAGCCACTCCTGCCTCCTTCCCACCAAAGTTACCTCTCCTGAGACAGCCCAGATGGCAGCATGAGAAGCTCTCCCACCCACCCTGTACCTTCCCCATCCCTTCAGCCTTTCTGCTCTGATGCTCAGGCCCACGGGGGACTCTAGTTTGACTTCATTACATGTGTGTACACGTGTGCTCTATCACCTTCCCAGCTACCATTGAGCTGTAATCAATGCTCACAAGACTTTGGGAACACAACCCAACACATGTCTAAAAGCATGGAATTGAGTACTTATTGAGTGGCTGGAATTTTGGTAGAACCATAGGCTCTTCCAATGTGGAGCTGACACCAAGATCAGTTGATTAACAAGTGATCTGTAGAGATGAAGACTAAGAGAGGCAAGAACTTGGCCGTGGGCACATGGTTGGTGACCTAAAGATTCTGCCAGGGCAGGAGTGGGAGGGTGGTGGGGGTACAGATGGTCTTAGATAGCTCTCCTCCTCTCACTCAGCAACCCACTGGGGTGTTAGGAAACGTGAACTGCCACTCTGGGCTGTAATGGAAACAGTGAGAAACCAGACCCACTAATGGCGTGGGGAGAGGTTGTCTAGTCGGCAGCTCGTCTAGAAATTCCTGGCACGTTCCTGCTGGAGCAGAATGACGGGCTGCTGTGTTTTACCTGGAACTCTGAGTGTGGTGGGCTGGTGGAGACACTCCCTGTGGACTGTTCTAAAAATAGCAGTGGGAACATCACTGAGGGGAAGAGGAGGGGGCTCCTTCGGGAGCTGGGTGGGGACACCTCGCCCCCTTCCTCTTCCTGCCAGGCCCTATTTGAGGAAGTCCTATGGATTCATAGAATTCAGATCTGGGAGTGTCCTGGAGCCATCAGTCCTCACCTCCCTTCCTCAGGCAGACCAGAAGGCCCTGGAGGTCCAGTGGGGAAAGGACTGGCCAGTAGTCACCGAGCTGGGGGAGAAGGTCCCAGAGACAGGCTGTTTTCCTCCTGTAGTTTCCGAGGCAGCTTAGGCTTCGACAGGGCCTCTCTCACTTTCTCTGGGAGCACAGGGCCTGGGAACTCCTGGGGCCGGATGCAGTTGGGCTTCCTGAGAGTCGCCCGGCAGGCGAGGAGTCCCCTGGTTAGTCCACCCTATGCCCTGACCTCGGCCAGCTGGCCTTCGGTGCCATGCCTTCCTCTTGATGGTGTCCCTCCCTTGCTGACTTGTCCTCCTGTCGCCTCCTGCATTGCTGGAGGGAAGCAGGAAGGGCCAGCATCCAGCTGGCCTGCGGGAGAGGTGTGGAATCCTTAGCTGCCCTTCCCAGGAAGAGGGAGGCGCTGCTAAGTGGCCTGTGGTTTTAGAGGTAGGCAGGCCTGGGTTCCAGTCCCAGCCCTGCTGTAAAATGGGATAAAATGACCTTTCCCACACACTATCTCATGATGGTCGAAGGGGTAGGCACAGAAAGCATCTCTTACAGCACCTTGCAGTCAGCAGGTCCTCAGGAACACAGTGATCAGGAGATCAAGCAGCGTGTACCCTTGACTCCTGTGGCCCCTTCCTTGGGGCCTCCTCCCGTGGGATGTTCTTTTAAAGTAGTTGACTTTGGTTGTGTTAGAAAAGTAACTCATGTAACTGATGTTTATTAGGAAGAAAACACTTACTATAAATGAGTCAGGAGGAGGAAATGAGGCTTACCCTTCACCCCAGCACTAGAGATATCTACCTTAACGTTTTGGGGTGGGTCCTGTCAGGTGTTTTCATATACACGCATTTCTTATGTGCAAATTGGGGTCGCTCGTGCAATTTTCTGTCCTGTCTTCTTCCACTAACAGTGTGGTGTAACCATGTTTCCTTGTCAATAAATATTCTGTGACATATCTTTAGTGCTGGCAGAGTATTTTATTGTGAGGATGAAACGTGCCTTATTTAAATCATCTCTGGTGGTCCCACATTCAAATTGTTTCCAGTTTTTCCTTGCTACAGAAACCTGAGATAAAA